ATAATTCCAGTCTCTTGGGAATGTATGGTCTGGTGGGGAAGTTTGATCATTAAGTAAACTATATGGACGTTATCATTGCTGTGAAGAGACGACACTGGGGAAAATATAGGAACACATAGCCGGAGCACTGACACTGTTGGTACTGTAACTGGGCATCAGGGGACCTTCAAGGCAAAACTTGTAACCTGAAAGAATTAGAGAAAGCAAAATAAAAATAAGGGTAAGGCAATAGGTACAGAAGGAAGCTATGTTCCAGACAAAGGGGACAACACCATGCTTCCCATAGGTGACAGGGATCCTTGCAAAATGAACAACTAATGTCCCCAGACAATGGGGTGGTGAGTTTTGATGACATTGGCCAAAGAAGCAGTCTAACTTATGATGGTCCAAGAAGCCCTGGTCCATTTTATCTTAAGGGTAGCTATGAAACTGTTTAAGCACAAGATATGAGTGTACTACAGAATGTTCATGGAAATGGAATGAAAAGTGGTTTTTTGCAAAATGATTTGAAATCCATGTATACAAAACAGTCCTCAGAAATGTTCATGGAAAATGCTTATGTGAAGGAAGTTTGTGTGGATTTCAGGCTTTTTTGCATGAGAGTAATCTTTTAATTCCATTGTTCCACTAATATTTGAAATGCTCTTGTAAGCTTATATTTGGGTCATGCCCCTCAAGCCATAACTCATATAAAACATGAAAGGGGCAGCACAGAAGATAGACCTACTAGGATCACCTGCACTAACTTAAATGCAGACTGGTGGCTGCTTAATTTGACTCACAGCAGCGGTAATGAGAGAAGGTGAATGTGTTAGAGCTGTATATTGGACTAGATGCGGCTTAATAGGACAGTGAGGATGGAGGAGGAGGAGACAAAGTGTGATCCACTTCTCTAGCTTGGGCTTCTTGGGCAGAGGTTGGTGCCATTTGCTGAGACGGGACTAGAGCAAGTTTGGAGTTGATGACCTCAATGAGACAGGTTTTAAGTTGGAAGCCATTTAAGTGGCTGGATGTAAAGCTCACAAACTTAAGAAGACCTGGGTTTAAGTGTTGGTGGTGGCTGGGAAGGGGTGAGGTCCCAGAACAGAGCAAGAAGAGATAAGTGGAGGCCTAGACCAGTTGGGACAACATTGCATAAAGGACAAATAGAAGAAATTCCACTTTTCTATAGAAGCTGGGTGACATGAGAACATGGTAGATCTTCCTAGACTGCAAACCTTAAAGTTTAGGCCTGTCTTTTCTTACTGTTAATGCTGATGGATTGTTGCATAGGCAGGAATTTACCTATGATGAGCTTGATCAATGTTGGGACAAATGGAATGGGTGGGAACTGAAGGGTTCTATACACAGGATGCTGTATTGATATTGGCTGGGAATAAGGCAAGGGACTGTCCTTCATATGTTATTTTTTGTAATGCAAAAACAATACTGTAGTCTTAGAGGAAATATCCCTGGGAACCATAAACATTGACTTAAGTTACTCGCTATTTTTATATTTCTGGAGAGGGAAAGAGGGAATACGTTTTGAGGGGGTAGAGATGGAGATTTTCTCTCTGTCATTTCTTTAAAATTATCTGAAGCAAATATGGGAACTTGCTAATGTTTCTTAAATCTGAGTTGTAGATAAAGTGGGTAACTTTCATATAATTTTTAGTACTTTTCTGTGTGTTGGAAATATTTCATAATTAAAAGTATGTTTTAAAAAAAATTTAAAAAGATTTATTCATTTGAAAGGCAGAGTTACAGAGAGAAAGAGACAGTGAGAGAGGCAGAGAAAGAGAAAGAGATAACGTCCACCTGCTAGTTCACTCCTCAAATGGCTTCAATGGCTGGGGCTGGGCCATGCTGAAGCCAGGAGCCTGGACTTCCATCCCTGTCTTCCATGTAGGTGCAAAGACCCAAAGACTTGGGCCATCTTCCACTGCTTTTCCAGGTGCATTAGTAGAGAGCTGGATTGAAAGTGGAGCATCTAGGACTCAAACCAGTGGCCAAATGGCATCACAGAGGTGACAGCCCAAACCACTGCACCATAATTCTGGCCCCAAAAGTGTTTTGTTTCAAAAAGTAGGATGGGATAGCACATGTGCCAATGACTTGTTCAGTTTAGCTCCAGGAACCCACAAAAACCAGATAGGTAATAATTAATTAAAACGGAGGCCGGTGCCGTGGTACAGTGGGTTAATCCTCCACCTGCGGCGCTGGCACCCCATATGGGCGCTGGTTCTAGTCCTGGCTGCTCCTGTTCCAATCCAGCTCTCTGCTGTGGCCTGGGAAAGCAGTAGAAGATGGCTCATGTCCTTGGGCCCCTGCACCCACGTGGAAGACCTAGCTCCTGGCTCCTGGCTTTGGATCATCGCAGCTCCGGCTGTTGTGACCATTTGGTGAGAGAATCAACGGAAGGAAGACCTTTCTCTCTCTCTCTCTCTCTCTCTCTCTCTCTCTCTCACTGTCTGTAACTCTACCTCTCAAATAAAATAAAATCTTTAAAAAAAAGAAAAGAAAAGAAACGGCACCCTACAGAATGGAAGAAAATATTTTTGAAAAAATTAATTACAACGTACCCAGAGCCAGAAATCTGTGCTTGGGTGGACGTGGCTGTGTAGTAAGCTCTGCATAAAAAGTTACAAAACCAAAAACTTCTGGGCTTGGCTCTGCCCAGCAGAAAAGTCCCACCTGAGAGCAAATTAGTTCTTACTTGGAGGCCTTTAATTTTGTCTCACCTTTTATTACCAATGGAATTCCTGAGTAATTTGAGTCAGGAATTTCTACCCTCCCCCCTTTCTTTCTTGGAACTCCTGATCAAAGGTGTTTCCTTCCAAATGCAGGCAGAATGGCGTCCTAGAGACCTGGTGTTCCCAGGCAGGAGAAAAGGGAGAGTGGCCCTCTGGGTGCAGGAGATAGAAGCTCCCTCCAGGGATTATTTTAAAACCCCTTCTGAATGGGCTCATTGTTTATAAGAACTGCTCCTTAATGGAAAAACAAAAAGGCAAGAGGGTCTGTAATGTGCTCTCTGCTCTCTTTCGCTGGCCTCATTGTTTATTTGATTTATCAAGTCTCCAGGAGTTGCACTGTGTGGTGACCTTCCTTTAGCTATTTCTCTAGAGTATCCATTTACTTTATTTAGAAACATAATATTTAAAAAAGCTGGAGCTGAGTCAAAAAATCATCACCTTTTTGATGTGGCCGTTTCCCCCCTTTTTTGAAACCGTAAACTTGCCGAGGGCCCTGAAGGCTGCATTGCACTCTTGATCAGCAAGTCCTTCTGTGGCCCGGTTCAGGCTGCGGTCTGCCTCGGGCTGGGAGGCAGGCCAGCCTTAGGTCCTGCTGCCCCTGCCTCTCCAGGCCTGTTTGCACATAATTAGAGGACACATTGCCAGATAATTGGGTGCTAAGTGGTAGAGAAGGGAGTTCAAAAGGTGCTAGCTCAAGGTGTTGTGGTCCTGAACCTCCAGGATGGGCCTGGGGTGTGTTTCTGTGATGAGCCTAAAAGTAACAAAGATCCTGGATTGGCCTCCCTCTGTGTTTTAGCACCAGGAGTCTCCATTCCCCAAATTCAACTTAGCCCAAATAAGATCACTTTAAAATAGGTCCTCATTTCTCTCTTTCATCTCTCCCTCCCCCGACCCTGCCTTGTGTTACTTTTATTGATGAGGACTCCTAAGGCTAACATTTAAGGACCCAAACGTAGCCGGCAAACGTGATTTCGTCCTTTTAATGTGTGGGGTATTTTAAACCTTAGTGTCTTTGATATCGGCTCTTCACCTTACTTGGTACTGACTTTTATTGGTTCTTTCATACTTTATTTTTCTTAAAGGTAACAAATCACTAGAAGCTTACTCCTAACTCTTAGGAAACTGATGGTAGGGAGAGGAGCTGCATAGCCCCAAGCGTGGAGATTATAGTGGCCAGCATTTTAAAGGAGATTTTAATCCCCATGATTAGCATTTCTTGGCTGGGTTTTCATCTTTTAGTACTGGATGAACTTAAAAGTTATTAAACTCCACCTCCCACCAAGCGAAACACATCAACACAAAGTAATGCTATCTTCATAGATTGTGATTGGAATTGCAGGAAATCTATTTATGATTTTGAAGTTAATTGACTTTTTTTATAAAGTACAGTTTTCCTATTGTGAAACACAGCGTCACTCTATTACAATAGGGTTTTTCTGTGATTGTGAAGTTTTTCTTTATTTTTAAAAGTCTTTATGGGTGGTATGTCTTTCCTGCATTTTTGCTAGTGTGAACTTTTTTGGTTCATAGAAGGCAGTACAGTGCAATGGTTTTTCAGGAGAACATTGCATTAAACTGCCTGATCCACTACTGGTTCTGTCATTTGCTACCAATGAGACTTAGGACAAGGAACTCAATTCTTTTGAACCTTGGCTTTCTCACCTGTAAAAAAGTGGGTAATAAAGGTATCTGCGTCATGGGATTGCTATGAAAATTAAATGAAGCTTGATACTGAGTCTGTAAGTTAGTATGTGTTCAAAAGTGTTATCCTTTTGTATTAATAGGTATTTGCTGGTAAATAGGAAAACTACTGATTTAATGATGTTTGCTTTCAATTTTATGGATGTAGTAAATATTTTGTTTGTTCTAATAACTTCCCGATTACATCTTCTGTGTCTTTCAGGTTAGACTATAATACTCTCTGCCAGTAAAATTGTTTTTCTTTCCCTTCCAATTGCTGTATGCTGGATTTCTGTTTTATATAACATTGAATTGGCTTCAGCTTCCTGAATAATAGTGATTAAAATGATAACCATCTTGGATATTACTTTCATTTTTTTCACAATTTAAGGAAGTGTCTTTTAAGTCTGAGTTTGATACTTTTTTTTTAATTAAGAGTGAATGTTTAATCTTGGCAAATATCTTTTCATCCTCGTATTTTTATGATGCACAATTTTTCTCCTTTGACCTATTGATCTGTGTAGGTTTTCTTATATTTCTCATCATATTTTAAGTTATAAAATTAATTTGATTCTTGAACTTCTGGTGTGACTTGATATGTTAAATATTGTTTTTAGCATGTTACTATTCTTGCTATTTGTCCATAAATGGTTTTGATTTTTAGTTTTCCTGTTTTTGTCCTCAAAATATTGTATTTTGGAATTGGAGTTGCATTCATTTTTGAAATAAACTGCCAAATATCTTAATCTAGAAAACTTTTCATAATATGAAATCATCTATCCCTTGGAAATTTGAATTGACTCACACAAAGAGCTACCAGGATCGACATACGGAATCTTTATTGGAAATAATTTTGGGTAGATTCTTCATTTTTTCCCATTGCTACTGAATTTCTCATATTTTCTACTTTTAAGATCAATTTTGGTGACTTAGATCAAGGTTTGAAGATTTAATTGCATAGAAATTTAGTAGCCTTATTTAAAAGGACCCTTCCTTATAGATGTCTGTTTCCCCCTCTCAATTTATGCTTGTATTTTCCATCCTTTCAGTCTTTTGTAGACTTCTAGTGGTGTTTTATTTATTGTGCCCCCTACCCACCAAACAACTGATTTCAGAACTGTTCAGAATTTCTAAGGGCTTTTATTTTGCCAGTTCGTAATTTGTTCCTGCCATTATTATTTTCACTTCTTCCTGTCCTTTTTCAACTTTTAAAAGTTGAATGTGATTCCATTTATTAGATTTTCTAACAGTATTCGTGCCATGAATTTTGTTACTGTACACGATTGTTGCTAATATTATTTGCAAATGTATGTATTTAAAAAGTTTCCCTATGAATTTGCAAAACATGAGGTTCTCGTGTGTGTCCGTGCATATCTGTGCGCACATGCAGGCAGTGGTTGGGCTTGAATGTTTATTACAGTAAGATAATTTTACAAGATAGCTTGTGAAAAGACTTAAGAGTAAGTTGATTCAGGCGAGCTTCTATAATCCCAGAAAGGAAATGCTTCCTCCTGTTCATAATTAGCAGAAGTAAGAGCAACTCCTATTACCCTTTCGAATTTACTCCAAGTTTCTGTAAAATTTTGGTTAGAACATTCTCACTTCTGTGTCATCAGCTCTTACTGCTATGTTTTGAGCTTATTTCCTCTTCTTTCTTCTTCAAAGCCATCGGAGTACAAAGTGGGTGTTCTTAGTAATCATTTACATGCTTGAAGAGATGCAGTACATTATCTGAACCTCTCATATTTTATTTCTTTCACCAATCATTTCACTTTGCTTTTGGCTGATTGTTGCTTTTCCTGATTAGCTCTTAATGGAAAAACAAAGACCCTTTGCTTTTATAAGAGTTTGGTTAATGCTGACTATCAGAAGGAGCTCTGAAATGTTAACAGTTTTTAGCTGCTTCACCTTAGTGCTTTGTGTCTTTTTCTACCTAGTTACCCAGACTGCCTTTCCTCTCCATCTGTCTGTGGCATATTCTCTGTTGGTTGATGATCATTCTAAGTTTGTCATTCCTTCTAAACAGCTCATTGATTGGCTGGACTAAAATCTATTTTAATAGTCTTTTATTGTCACTTATTTAGGGCATGAGGTTCTTTTTGAAAATGGACTTTATGTTAGAACAGTATTAGTTTCTTAGAAACTCTGAGTGGAAAGTCCACTAACTTCCCATATACCCTGTTGCACACCTCTCTGGCATTTGTTAGAATTGTTGAACCCACACGGATATGTCACTACTGCTCAGGGCACACAATTCCCCCTTTGCTCGTGGAGTCCATCCCACAGGTCTGGACAGGTCTGTACTGACATCTGTCTGCCATGTGACATGCAGTGGTTTACTGCCCTTCAAATCCCTTGGGTGGCACCATTTTTTTTTCCCTCTGCCTTATCTGCCCCAGCACCCAGCAGTCACTCATCTCCATAATTTTGCCTTTTCCAGAATATCATACCTATAGATAGACTCATAGAGCATTTAGATTTTTCAGATTGGCTTCCTCCACTTAGTAATATGCATGCAAATTTCTTTCATGTCTTTTCATGGCTTGACAGATCATCCCTTTGAACTACTGAGTAATATCCCATTGTCTGGGTACATTAGAGTTTTTTTTTTTTCTTTTTTTCCAAATCCACTTACCTACTGAAGGCATCTTTGTTCCTTCTAAGTTTTGTTTTTTTTGGCAATTGTGAATGAAGTTGCTATAAGAATCTGGGCGAAGACAGAGTTACAGGGAGAGGTGGAGACAGAGAGAGAGAGAGTTTTCATCTGCTGGTTCACTCCCCAGATGGCTGCAATGGCTGGAGCTGCACCAATCCGAAGCCAGGAGCCAGGAGCTTCTTCTGGATCTCCCACACGGGTGGAGGGGCCCAAGGACTTGGGTCATCTTCTCCTGCTTTCCCAGGCCATAGCAGAGAGCTGGAATGGAAGAGGAGCAGCCGGGACTAGAACGCGCCCATATGGGATGCCGATGCTTCAGGCCAGGGCTTTAACCTGCTGCGCCACAGCACCAGTCCTGGGTTTTCTTCTTACTAACATATCTAACAATTTGATTATTATCCTTATAGTTAGTTCTTTGTTCCTATTTCTGGTTAGTTATGAAATTCTAAATAGAATTGCTGAATCAAGAAATATCCACCTTGTTAGGCTTGATATCTATTAAGAAAGGATAAACTAATGCTTTTTTTTTTTTTTACCAGCAGTAAGTTTATATTGTTAGTATTTTATAATAGAGGAAATTGGAGAGACCTCAGATTACCTCCAACTGACTGGCTTACAGCATCAGAAATGTATTTTTTTCAGTGTTCTGGAAGACAAAAGTCTGCAATCAAAGTGTCAGCCAGGCCGTGCTCCCTCTGACATTCTGGGAAAGAATATTTGCTGCCTCTTCTGGCATCTGGTGGCTGTGGCCATCCTTGGTGCCCCTTGATTCGTGACACATCACTGTCGTCCCTGCCGCCATCTTCACATGCTATTCTCTCTGTGTGTCTGCTGGCCCTCTTCTGTGGCCTTCACTAATTGGACTTAGAGTCCACTCTAATCTGAAATGACCTCATTTTTAACTAATTACACCGGCAAGGACTTGTTTCCAGATAGTCACATTCTGAGGTTCCAGGTGGTTGTGAACTTGGGAGAGACACTGTTTAATCCAGTACAGTCACGCTGATTTTATTTTTTGCTATTCAATTAAAAATGAAAATATTACTGGAGAAGTAATAATTCTAGGCAGCAGCCACAGCAGTGATTGGTCAAAGCGCTGTCCTCTTTCCCTTTATGTTGCTGTCATCTTCAGTGACAAACTTGATAGGCTTTTGCTTATTCTTTATGAATGCAAATATGAAAAAGTCATATCTTCAATAACAAACTTTCCTCTAACATTTAAAAAAAATTCTGTGGGTTTACTTAGACCTGAGGTAAACAGCTTTCCTCTTAATTCTATTGCTAATACTGTTCCTAATCTTTAATGCCTCCTAGTATTTTTTATTCTTGATAGCTAAAAAACATTTGAAAGTTAACTGTAGTTATCCAGTCGTCAATTGTAGATGGTATGAAAATGAGAGACAAGGAGCAGACATTTGGTGCAGTGGTTAAGCTGCTGCTTGGGACGCTTGCATCCCATATCAGAGTGCCTGGGTTTGCGTCCCTACACCCTTTCCAATCCAGCTTCCACCTGGTGTGCATCCTGGGAGTCGGCAGGCGATGGCCCAAGTACTTGAGTCCCTGCCACTCACATGATAGACCCAGATGGAGTATGGGTCTCTTAACTTGGGCCTGTCCTAGCCCTGGCTCTTACAGCAAACTGGGGAGTGAACCAGTGGGTAGAGATTCTCCCTCCCTCCCTCTCCCTCTTCTCCCTTTCCCTCCCTCCTTTCCTTCCCCTCCCTCCCTCCCTTTTGCTGTCTGTGCTTTCTAAACTAGCTAATAAATCACTTAAAAAAAAAAAAAAAGAAAATAGTTATGGTGGTTTTCAAAACTGTCCTCTGGTTTTCCAGGTTTCTCCCTTCTGTGCCTTCGTGCTAGCACACACTGCCTTGAGAATGTCAAAAGGCATTTGACATACATTTTCCCAGCATAATCAAGTACCTCACTGTCTTTCTGTCAGCATACCTAAAAACTCAGCACAGTATCATGTAGGGAGTGCTATCGGGAACAATCTGATGGTTATTATTTGATGGGAGGAGGGTTGTCAGCAAAAGCTGTGGCCAGGAGCTGAGATTGGATCGGTTTTTGTTTTCAGTACCAGCTTCCATAGCATAAACCCATGGTTGTTTAGAACGCTGTTTCTGCTCTGATGTGCTGAGCCACATTTCAAGGCTGAATTTCATACCTGGGATTGCTGATGATGTGGTTCAGCCTGTTTGATCATTTATTTAATGCATGGTGACAGGGAAGCTAACTTCTTAGTTGCTGCTCTGATTAGGCCTGGTCTATACCAGGTGTAGTGGAATTGGGGTGAGGGAGCCAGGTGCAGTGCACTGTGACTTCAGAGACAGGTTGAACTGGCCAAGAGGCTGGCATTTGTATCCTGAATATTACTCCCAGGGTGTGTGGTTTTCATTGTTGCTTTTTTTTTTGTTTGTTTGTTTTAATTTTTAATTAGTTTTTTAACAGATTCAATATAGTTTGTACTCACAGTCCTTCATCCCTGAAACTCACACCGCTTGTTGTGGGCTGGAGAGCCGCTGGTTGGCCAAGAAGCCTGTGCAGTTGTCCCCAGTAGAGGAGCATCTGCGGTGCATAGGGTTGCATAAGGAAATTGCAACACAGCTGGGCAGCTCCAGAAGGTCACAAATAAGGCATTTGGGTGTCTCTGCTTCCTGAGAGCTGCAGGAGAGCAGCCAAAACTCATCTGCAGGGTCTGAGACTTGCACAAGAAATTTTTCTGAGCATCCTGACATCATTATGAGAAAAATATGGCTGACAAGTGTGGGACTCAGATACCCACTTTAAAGGCTTCTGAGTGTGTTTCTGAATCCTCTCTCAAAGGATGCTGGAAGGGAAGCAGGAGAGCGTGAATGAGTGACAGGGAAGAAGAAAGCAATCGAGTGGGGAGGGGGCTGTCTTTTAGATGGCTCCACAACCCCTTGCATGAGTCAGAGAGAGACACATGGCGCAATGTCAGCAAGAGTAACACTTAGAGATTTGAATACTAAGTGTGGATTTTCATGGGCTGGGAAATGTGGTCTAGAACTCCCACTGTAAGGTGAACCACAGGTGCAGGAGTTATAAAAGCCATCAGCTGGGGCTGGGGTGGCATCCTGGGTTAAGCTGCCACTTTTGAGGCTGGCATCCCGTAAGGGTGCTGGTTTGAGACCAAGCTGCTCCACTTCTCATTCACATCTTGATAATGGCCTGGGAAAGCAGCAAAAGATGGCCCAATTGCTCGAGTCCCTGCACCCACCTGGGAGACAGGGAAGAAACTCCTGGCTCCTGGCTTTGGCCTGGCCCAGTCCCAGCCATTGTGGTCATTTGGGGAGTAAACCAATGGATGGAAGATACCTCTGTCTCTTCTTTCTGTCTCTGTAACTAACTAACTAACTAACTTCCTTCCTTCCTTCCTTCTTTCGTTCATTCTTTTTAAAAGATTTATTAATTTATTTGAAAGGCAGAGTTATAGAGAGGCAAAGAGAGAGGCCTTCCATCCACTGGTGCACTCCCCAGATGACCACAATGGCCAGAGCTGGGCCAATCCGAAGCTAGGAGCCAGGAGTTTCTTCCTGGTCTTCCACGCAGGTGCAGAGGCCCAAGGACTTAAGCCATCTTCTACTGCTTTCCTAGGCCATAGCAGAGAGCTGGATTAGAAGTGGAGCAGCCAGGACGTGAATCAGCACCCATATGGGATGCCGGCATAGCAGATGGTGGCTTTACCCGCTACGCCACAGCACTGGCCCCGACTCTGCCTTTCAAATAAATAAAAAATAAACATGTTTTAAAAAAGCCATCAGTCCAGGCAGGAGAGGGGATAAGAAATAAAGAAACCAGCCTGTCTGCCTGTAAGCCCAGGAGAGATGGGAGCCAATGTTTCCCTTAACAGGAATCCTATGTTTTGCAGGTTGTGCCTCCTGGGAGGCAGCCTGTGAGGTGGAGTTTGGTGCATGGAATACTTATTAGGAGCACCCTTGAGATCTGCATCTAGGGACGGGTGAGGAAGGAGCCACAGAGGGTGCAGCACGGGCCCCAGCCTCTGTCCACTCCACAGGGAGCTCTGCAGCTAGAATGGACTGTAAGCATGTCCAGAGCTGGGTGGAGATGGCCAGGCCTTCGTGCTCCTGGAAGAAAAACTCAGCTAACTTCCCTGTAAGGAACATAGACTTCTGAGCAGGGTCCCCTTCTTCTCTACTATCCCCAGAAATCATTCACTTCTATTCAGAATGACTGGCCTAAGCCTTTGCTCTCTGGGGTAAGATAAGGTAACAACGAGGGAGGTGCCTCGGGCCTGTTAGCCATCGTTCTCTCCACCAAAAGAACAGCCTGCTACAGGAAAACTAATTAGCGTTTAGCCTGTTACCGCCTGCCATCATCTGCTTGCCAGCACACAGTGAAAGGCAGTTACAGAGATTGGCACCATCAGCGTGGTGGTGTTTATGCCCCGAAAGGATGATAAAGCTAATGTTGAGCAGGGATTTCTTTGGGACTCTGTTTGCCAAAAAATTAATTCCTGTACAGAGAAAGAATATGTTTTTCATTCTATGTCAGGCCTTATCTTCCACTGAAAGTTGGAAACTTGGTAATAACCTTGGCCGGGAGGAAGTGAAATGTGAGCTCCTTTGGAGAAGCTGTTTAGGGAGAAAGTTTGGCTCTTTTTGTGAGGAACATGCCTTTATAGGGATTAATTTTTTTTTAAAGCAAAGATTATACATCAAGGTCTTTGGGACTGGAGAATTTAGGCTAAAAAAGAAGAAAGGAAAAGTAGTGCTTTGTTATGATCTTATTTTCTTTTTTTTCTCTAACACTGTTCATTTGACTTATGTTTAAATGAATTGATATAGAATAAGATGGACTATTGTGCTTCTCATTCATAGAAAGCCATGGTGGCTACTGGCCATCATGGTGGTCAGAGTGGGTATCAAGCATTTCCAGCATCACAGAAAGTTCTAGTGGACTGTGTTGTCCAAAGCTGAAGAGCCTTAGAGACACTTGGACTGTTGGAGTCACAGTGTCAATTGTGGTGCCCTAGGAACCTAGAAAAAAGAGCTTTTGCAGAGAAACTTACAGATTGAGCTACTTTTGAAAAAAGAGCTAAGCTGCCACATCCAGAAGGACCACTCTGATGTCCAAGGGTCTGACTGTACCAAGTCTGATTTTCCTGGATCAGTCAATAGGTAGAGTATCAGTTCCTGGAAAGTGCTGTCCATGGATGGCTTTTCAAGCCAGTTAGTGCTTGATTTTGTTTATTGAGATGGTTGGAGCCTTTTTCCTTTTGGTAAGTACTTTAGCTTAAGCCATGTTGTGTTTGCCATTATCTTTTTGCAAGATGGGTGTGATCATCTCCGAGGAATGTAGTGTGGGGTGGTGGAATGTTTTTACTACACTTTGAGATCATAGCGAGATGTTTGCAGTGTAGCATTAAAGGGCCCTGTAAACTAGGCTTTGGAAGTTGTGCTTGAACTTGGGATTTAAATCCCATTGCCCATTAGCATCTGTGTTGCACTTGGACCTTCATTTTGTTGGGTAGCGGTGGTTTTAGTATAGATGAGATGTGGTGGCACTTTAGTGCAATCCTCAAATGTCTGTTTTCTAGATTACCAGAGCCAGCAACCCATAGCTTGAGGATTACCAAGTCCAGTCTAATGAAGTTTTATTGGAACACAGCTACATTCATTTGTGTGTTATCTATGGCCACTCTAACCCTGTGGTTGCAGCTTTGCGACATAAAGGCCTGCAAAACTGAGAATGTTCTGGCCCTTGACTGAAAAAGTTTGCCAGCCCAGATCATAGACAGATGATTGGAGTTCCTTTCCAGTGAGGAAGCATCTATGCAGGACCAGGTCTGCAAAAGGGCTTTTAGGGTAAGCTGGGGATTTCCCCATTCTCCTAAAGCTTTTTGAGGCTGTATAATTAAGTAGACGACAATAGGCAGGGTAATTATACTTTTTTGGGTCTCAAAGATGTGATGTAACTTCCTGGAAGTATGCTTCTCCAGTTCTTTGTCTTTCTCATTCTTTCTGGAAGACTGTTTCATATTTTCTGCTATCTTTTGTATCTGCAACAACTGCTCCTCCTCATTGCTCACCTGATAAGCCTGTTTGCCTCTTTAAAAAATATGCACTTAACTGAGAAGCAGAGAGAGAGAGAGGGGAGAAAGAGCTCTCAACTGCAGGTCCGCTCCCCCACATGCCTCCAGCTGCCAAGGGTGTGGGCCAAGACTGGCACCAAGAACGGGGAACTCAATCCAGGTTTCTCCTGTGCATGGCAGGGACCTATTCCTAGGCTCTGCATTAGCAGGAAGCTAGAATCATGTGCAAAATCAGAACTCAAAGCCAGACACTCTGATATGGGATGAAGGCAACCCGAGCTGTGTCTCAACCAGTAGGCCAAATGCCCACCTCTCACTTGCTGCTTTTACTGAGATAAGTGAAGGCAAATGAAGAGAGCTTTCACAGCCTTTCACTACTGCATCACTCGATCCCATGGTGCCTGAACCCATATGCTCTGCTGTCCCATCAGTCACCACAGAGGAACTGGCCTCTGTCTCCAGCCCCTTCTTCCAAATGTACCCTGGGTTTCATTCCTTTCACCTTCTTCAGGCCATTGCTCCCCACTCCCTTCTGTGTCACTTGTCTTGTCTTTCTTCTGGGTCACTTGATTCTGTTCCAGCCTCTGCCAGTTGCGGCTCCTATAACTTTGCTCCTCTTTGCAGCAGATCTTCAAGAAGTCATTCACATTCACTGTCAATGTCTTCTCATCAGCCCCTCTCTTTCTCATCCTCTCTAGCTTTTGTCCTGATCACTTGCTCAGTGAAAATGGCCTTGTCAAAGCTCCCATTCACCCTCATGTCACTCAGCCCAGTGGTCAGTTTTCAGTTCTTATCATCCTTGGCATGGCCGAAGCACTGGACACAGCTCTGCATGCCCCCACCCCCGGTGTATGGTCTTTACGGATCACCCGTGCCTGGAAAACCTGGATGCAGTTCCCAGTTTTGGCTCCAGTCCTGGCCCACCCCTGGAGTTTCAGGCATTTGGGGAGTGAACCAGCAGCTCTCTCTGTCATTTCCTCCAGTGTCAGGAGGCACCTCTGCGAACATCACATCTGTCCTCCACAGTGTAGTTTTGCATCCTTTTCTTCCTTTTCTCTCTTTCTCTGTCCCCTCTGTACTTGAGTGGTATCAGCCAGTTTTATGGCTTGATTTACAGCTCATTGGCTCATCCATCCCAGTTTTTTTCTACCAGAGGTCTCCCTTCCAAGACTCACACTTGTGTATCAGCTGCCCATTAGACATTTCTGCTCTGCTAGCCAAGAGATGCCTTGAATGTGGCACTGGGAGATGGAGGTGCCCTCTAGCCTCTTCCAGACCTTCACATTTGCCGGCCCAGTCAGTGGGGAGGCTACCCTGCCAGTTGTTCAGGCCCTAAATGGTGGAACCCTATTCCCCGACCCAACCATGCGCCCCAAGTGTTGCTTATTAGGAAATTCCATCTACTTTGTCTTTGTAAACCTGCGAATCAACTCTTTCCTGGGTGGCACAAAAGCCTTCATTCTCTCCATCTTGTCTCTTATTTCCCTGCATTCTGTTGTCAACATTGAACTATAGATGGCCTTTCAAAATCTTAGGTTATGCCACTCTGCTGCTCAAAACTCAAACATGGGTCCCTCTTTCACTTAAAAGTCCTTCCAGTGGCCTTCAATGTCCTGCACCCTCCGTCCCTCCTACTCCTTCCCTCTAGATGCTCTGCCCCTTAGCTGGCTGTTCCTGAAACACACCAGGAAAACTCTTGCCTCAGGGCCTCTCACTGTCTCTCTCTCTCTCTCTCTGGCTGCTCCATTCTCTTCCCCCATATCTGTTCTGCTCACTGCCTCTTCCCCTTTAAGTCTGTGCTCAGTGTTGGTTTCTCAGTGGGACCTGCCATTGCTGCCTCCGCTGATTCCCTGGTCACCTGCCTGCCAGTCCCACCTAACACCACTCAACTTCTTGTTTTTCCATAGCCCTGCCAGCTGACAAATACAGTCTGTTTCCTGCTGCTAAACTCTGATCTCCAACAATGGGGATTCGAGTCTATTTTGTTGGCTGATAGGGCTCAAGTGCCAGGACCAGGGTGTGATTACTGGGCCCTTGTACACGGCGGGAGCTCAGTCTGTATTAGTGCCGTGAAAGAAGAGGCTCTGGTGCAGTCTGGTGGAACTCTTCCCTGTGCCACCGAAGCACTAGCTCACTTGTCTTCCTGATAGGGGCAGTGTGTCCCTGAGAGATCAGACGCCACTTCTTTTAGTTTTACTTAGAGGGTAGGAATGGACACATATGTCAGAGTGGTCAGTACAATGGCTCCGCTGTCTTGGTCACTGTCCAAAGGACTTCCACATGGCTGTGGAGTTAACTGTGGCCTGTGGTTTGCTCTTGTTGATGTGACTGTAAGCAGGGGTCCCGGTGGAAGCTGCAGGGAGGAAGCAGGTCAGTGCTCACTGTTCCCTTGGCCTGTCTCTTTTTCCAGCTCTGTAGCTTTGGATGTTGCTCCGTGTTCAGTTTGAGGATCTGCTGCAGCTTTCACGGATATTCCCTCCCGGCGCTGGGTCATTCTCTTCTCATCATCCTGTTCTCCTCCAGGAGAATGTTTGCTGTCTCAGGGTCCTGTGAGCTCCCAAGGGAGGACTAGCTGCCCCACCACTGGGGAGCCACAGCACCTCCATCAATACCTTGTGTCGCAAAGTAGGGTGCTCAGTAAATAAGGGAATGCAACAGGGATGAATGAGTAAATGAACATCAGCCCTTCTCAGTTTCTTCTTTTACGGTATGCTTTCTTGGATACTGCTTGGAAATTTGGGAGGTATTTGGGAGCAAGGGGAGATTGAGTTGCTGGCTGGGCTGCAGAAGAGGGTCGTTGATATTCTACTCTTGATTGATGTCCAAAGGTAGACAGGACACCTAGCGGAAGATTCGGGAAATGGATCCTTTGAGGGAAACACTCAGCAAATTAAGTTTTGGGCCCTTGATTTTTCATAGTAGCCCAGGGCTGAAGAAGCAGATTGTCCTGAGCACATACACGGTGAGGAAGCAGATGATCCCCGCTGCGTTCAGACTGTGGGGTGAGTCTGGGTACTGGGGCAGACAGCAGGCAGTGCCTCTCCAGGCATTGGTTGGCATGAATTGAAGTCTTGTCTTTCTTCTGATTGAAAGAGGAGTTCTTCTGGGCCAGGTACCTGGAGAAAGAGAGGAGTTGGGAATGACAGCATCAGATGTGAATGTGTGTGTCTGTGAGGGGGTAGGAGAGAAAAGATGCTCTCAGGAGGGCTGGCCCCTGGGCTAGTTTTGGTCCCAGGTAGGGGCAGGGGAGAAGGTTTAGAAACCTGAGCTGCAGTTGTGTTTCTGCAGAGGCTTTTGTGTGACCTGTGAACCTATGCAGGACACATCAGGGCCCAAAGGCCAAGTGCCACACAGCATAGTGATGGGGCATTCCTTGTACCTCTGCTCGGAACTCAGCGGCCTTGGGCATCCTGGCGGATCTTTTGGGATATCTCTGGGTCTGCTGCAGGGTAGGTGGACTAAATAGAGTAGGAGTGACGTTGAGTCAGATTGAAATAGGACTCTGTGACAGGCTTGCATGAACCTTTGTCCCCTGGTTGGTCCCCATCGCTGATTGTGTGGCCATCCTCACGCATCATGGTATCTGTGGCGTGAACTCAGTAGACACATTCAGACTTGGTGCAAATACGAGCACTGTCCAGGGGCCAGACCATCCCGAGGTGTGTGGGCTCTAGGGTCAGGCAGACATGGGCGGGTGCAAGTTCTGACTCCACTGTGCAACCTTTGGGAAGTTCCTACACCCGTTAAGCTTTGGTTTCCTCGTGGATAAGATGAGACTCATAAGCTTGTGGTGAGTGTTTAAGGAGATCAAAGATGTAAAAGTCTAATGTCCAATAGCCATTGTTACTGTTGTTAGTGTTATATATTGTGGTGAGTAAGCTGGAATCCAATTTCTCGCATAGAGGACTGCATGAGTTTTGTGTCTGTGCTTTTTCTTTGACGTATTTTCTCCCTGCAGAGTTTTATGAGGGAGGCTCCTGTTACTCCTGTTGTTCACAGCGAGGAAACCAAGGCCTCACAGGAGAAGGCTGAGGTGCGGGAGTCACGCATGCGGGGGCTCGTCCTGTGCACTGCATTCACACTGGCAACGCCAGTGAATGGCTTCATTGAAAGCATTTGTCACTTTGTTGGTTGCAGAAACTCAGGCTTACCAAGTCTGTGATCAGCTGGCCTCAGGGTCTCTGTGGAAACTTCATGGATTCGAAAAAGTTACACAGGGTGCGACTCTGGCGTGACATCCTGAATTCATGTAAATCAGGCAGGAAAGATACTTGGCCCCCACGCATAGACACACCTCGTGGCAGCCTGGGTCGGAGGTGCTGCTACTGAGAGCTCGCTTCTATAGACGGCTTCTCATGTGTACTCACTTGATGCTCCCTGCCAGCCCTCTGCTATCTCCACACTTTACAGATGAAGAAATGGTGCTGGGGAGTTCAGTGACACGCCCCAGCCGGAGCTGAGTGTAGTCACGGAGCCAGGCCTTGAACCCTGGCAGCCAGCCTGCTCGCCCGTGCCGTCACCCTCTGTGCGGCCCTGGGGGGCGGTTGATGAGCACAGTTCATCAAAAACGAGCTGTGATCCGCCGGATGAAAGAGGAGGTCTGTGCACATGTGAATGTGCTTTTGTGAACCAAAATGTGCTTCGGTTGTTTTCCCTGTGTGTCGGGGCAGAGGCACCGCGGACTCCCAGCGCGTCTGCACAGGGCTGATTGATGAGGGTTTGCTCCACTCCACCAGCTGGTCCACAACACGGAGCTTTTCACGTTCTGAGGGGGAGGAAATGAATAAACAGGCATTTGGGATGAAGCCGACCAAGTCTGTGGGTCTGGCGGAGAGACGAATTCAGTTGAAAGGAGTTTTGACATGCAGTGCAGGCTCTGCCTGACCCAGTTTTGCGGGAGAGTTCCCAGCAAACGAGAATCAGGAGATGAGAATTTGCATGTCAATTTCCCATTGGTTATAGATGCATTTCCTGGTTTAGGTGGACTAAGCGAGATGGCAGAGTCATCCGGGTATAAACAGTTGATGGTCATCCTTTCTCGACTTTAAATGTAATAAAATTGCCATCGATTTTGGACATTTAGAATGTTTATGTTTTATATTTTGAAGGAATCTTCAAATATCCATGGAAGATATTATACATAGATAATGTGAAACTTTGTATATAGTGTATGTATACACAATGTATATAAATATGAACACATTGTATGGATTTCAGAAATTTTTTACACCTAAAAAACTTTTAATCTCATTTTTTTCATAAACTTCTTGAAATTCTCTCATATTTTGACTTTTAATGCCTTGTATAAGTGTGGCAGTCTCATCCTATAGGCACGTGAAGCCATACTGCATTTAATTATTTTTAAGTCAAATACCACTAGGGATCTTCTTTCCATTGCTTTTTTTGTCCTTCAGAAGAAACATAAAGCCAGAATATACTTGTAGATTTAACATGGCTGGCCAAGATTTCTCTAATGCCTCAGCAAGTTACCAGAAACAAAAGCTACGTGGCAGTGGTCAAGTATGTGCCCAGCACAGCATGACTAAAAGTAGCATCAAGTTGTGGGGATGCAAATGGACGTGCTCTGCTTCTGTTCTAAGGGTCCCACAGCCCTTCCAGTTCTTCCTCACCTGCCCCTGCTCACCTGCTCTGGAAGGGGCAGCCCCTTCCCCAGCACCACTTCAGATGACCTTGTTCCCCCCAAATTCTCTGAACGTCTTTCTACTTTGGGGGAAGAAATGATTCAGAAAACACTTTGTGCTCATGAAAAGAGACTGGTTTCAAAAGCTCTGGGTGGTCCCTGGTAGATCCATTTGGGAAGCAAGTATGGGTAGGAAAGGAGGACAGGACAAGACAGAAAAAAATGGTTGGAGAGTATTGTAATATTTACTTGCCTTTAAATCAGAATAAATGGGCATCTTTCCACAAAAGCCAAAGGAGACTGCAAACTCATTGCCCAACTCTATGTAGGACACTCACCCCATTCATGCTGAGACTGAAAAAGAAATATTAATGCCAGTTTAAAAATCGCTTTTCAGAAATCAGGGCCAGACTTGGACCTCAGAAAGAAGTGATGTAAAGCTGCGTGAGATGTGAGGGAAGAGGAAGACAGGAAGGATCTGTGCATATGCACGTGCATGTGTGTGTGTGTGTTAGGTAATCCAGGTGTGTGCACATCACGTGTGTGGGTGTTAGGTGATCTGGGTGTGCATGCATGTGTGGGTATTAGGTGATCCGGGTGTGTGCACTTGCACGTGTGGGTGTTAGGTGATCCGTGTGTGTGCACATGCACGTGTGGGTGTTAGGTGATCCGTGTGTGTGCACGTGCACGTGTGTGTGTGTTAGGTGCTCCGGGTGTGAGCATGTGCATGCACGTGTGTGTGTGTGTTAGGTGATCTGGGAGTGTGCACGTGCACGTGTGTGTGTGTTAGGTGATCCGGGTGTGAGCATGTGCATGCACATGTGGGTGTTAGGTGATCTGGGTGTGTGCACGTGCACGTGGGTGGGTGTTAGGTGATCCAGGTGTGTGCATGTGCACATGTGGGTGTTAGGCTTTCCTGTTTCCATCACTTGTAGACCAGTTCTTGTCCACGTGTCCATTAGTGGTGCTTCGGTGCTCACAAAAGCTCCCTGTCCAAATGAGGCAAGCAGCAAGTATTTCATGAGCATCTACGTGTAGTACAGCCACCTGCAGGAGGAAGCACAGTAAGAAAACCACTGTTGTGATCTGCAAGGAGGAAAGGAGAGTAGCCCTAGGGAAGAGAGCTGACCCCCTCTCCAGCTGTCCGTTGTCCTGACTGCTTGTCTGCAGCTCCACAGCGATGGGATTTTTGCTTCTTCTCTGAACGTCAGTGCCGCAGACTATGGGATGTGGAATAATCTGCAGAGTTTGAAAGGTTGCTGGGAGAGTGATGTGAGACAGTGGGAGAGTGCAGGCTTCTTGGAGAGTCCTCTGTGGCTTGTGAGTACCCTCTTACATAGAAGTCATGAATAGTAAGTGAGGAGTTGTGTTAATTTTACTGGAGGAAGAGATCTCAGTTCCACTACCTAACTTTCTGCCCCTACTCACAAGCAAACATTTTGGAGGCCCAGGTCCGTGGATGGACCAGGAGGGTGGGGAGGTCTCAGCGCTGTCCATTGCCCTGCTGTAGAAACTACTCAGCCACAGAGCAGCTTGAATGGGCAACAGGGAAGGGAGAGGGCACCAAAGAATGTGCAGAACACAGCTCACGGGGCAGGCATTGGGCCTGGTAGTTACAGCACTGGCTAAGATTGCTGGGTCGCACATCCAAGTGCCTGTGTTTGATTCCTGGCTCTGGTTCCTGAGTGCAGTTTCCTGCTAATGCAGTCTCAGAGTGGCAGCACTGACTGGTCAAGTTGAGTTCCTGCCACCCACATGGGAGACCTGTACTGAGTTCCCAGCTTCCAGTGTGTAGCCCAGCCCAGCCCTGCCTGTTGTGAGCATTTGGGGGAGTAAACCAGCAAATGGGAACTCGCTTTATCCCTCTCTCTGTCTTAAATAAACATGAAAATTGAACACACAGATTTACCCACAAGTAGTATGGATTTGACACCAGTTCATCCATTGAACCCACGTCTCACCATGTAATTCTACTGGGTTGACAGAATGCCAGCCCGAGCCCTGCATCCCTGGGCATGCTCCATGGCAGCCACCACGATTGTTTCCTTACTCCAGCCGCCTGCAGTGGCACAGCTAGGATGAGCAGAACCCCCTTTTCTGTTCAGATTCATGGTGGTGGTCTAGTGGAAACATGGGGTGTTTGACTTGGAGCTGCAAGTGTGTGAGAGCCGCAAGCCTCCTGCCCGCCTTTGGAGCAGTTAATTTCATTTTATTCTTAGAGGCATAGACAGGGCACTGCTATATAATTTTGGGGGTAGAATATAATTATGGGAATAAAAAGACCCCATTGGATGCTTCAGGAAAACAGGTAAAAACAAGTCATGTCAGTCTTCAGTCTTTTCCATATTTTCCCTGTGTGTTTAGCCACCAACATGGGTAGCCAATGCTGACAGTTTTCTGCAGTGACTGGGGTTTCCCAGAGAGCTCAGGTGCCTGAGTTTCAACTAGTCTTAGCCAGGAAGTCTTGGAAACTGCAAATGCGAGTAAGTTGTGAGAAGCCCTGACTCAGGGCCTTTGAACCCCAGATACTACTTCTTCTCTCATCACTTTTTCTGTGTCCTGTAGTATTTGATTATGGTTTTCCAGCAACAAAAGCGATACTCAATATAAGAAATTTGAAAAGATACTGAAAAGCAGCAAAAGAGAATAAAAGGCATCCTTGTTCCATTATGCATGTGTGGACAAAAATTATGAACATTTTGGTACGTTTTCTTCTAGTATTTTTTTCTACACATATATATGTTTACGTTGCTTGCACATAATGACATTAGAATTGGTTATTCTCCTTTTTAATTCACTCCTTTCATATTGTCGGCTCATCATCTTTTGCTTGGTTCTTGTCATAGGAAAGTTTTTAAAAAATCTTGAAGTTGTCATTCCAGAAAAAGACTTATCTTCTTACAGGAGGAAAAATGTCCATTTAGTGAAAGCTGTGACACAAGTCTAGACTTCTAAACAATTGAGAAAATTTTGCAATCAGGGCTGCTTTTGATTGATTGATTTTTGTTTATTTGAGTGGTACAGCCAGAAAGAGAGAGAGAGAGAGAGAGAGCTTTCCAAATGTCCTTGAGAGCCAGGAGCTCGGCCAAGCCAAATCCAGGAGCCTAGAACTCCATCCAGGTTTCCCACATGGGTGGCAAGGACCCAAGTACTTGAGCCATCACCTGCTACCTCCCAGCGTGTGCATTAGCAGGAAGCTAGATTGAAAGTGCAGCATCCAGGATAGAACCAGGCACTCCAGTAGAGAATACAGGAGTCCCAAGCAGCAGGGTGACCATCCAGAGGTTGTTTTTGAGTCTGACACTGACTAGGAGCAGAGCAGAGTGAACTGAGGACAGAATTCCGATACTGCAGAGGGTCGGCAGCGCTGCAGAGGTGTGAGTGCACAGTGGTAGATGTTGCACAATTGTTATCAAGCCCTGTAATTGCACATGCAGTATTAATAAATAGCTATGTACTGAGTCAGTTGGCGCTTGCTGCAGGGAGAAGCCACAAAGGAATCCTCACATGTTATATTTTGTCTGGGGAGTTGGAGTTAAACTGGGCATGAGCTCACGGACTAAGACCTCCCTCCTCCCCCGCAGAGAACTCAGGAAAGAAGAAAACCCTTAAGCAAATACTTGATTGTGGCAATTGTGGGGAGAGTGCTGGCATCTCTTTTAGTTACCATTAACTCGCATTTCAAAAAGACCAAGTGCTTTCTTGAAAAGTCAGTATAACTTCTCTATAAGACATATGATATCTGAGCCTGAAAGAACTGAAAAAACCCACATTCATTTCTAAACTGAAAAGTATTTTTTAATTTTAGTGAAATATTAGAAAATGTGGCAACAAATGTCATTAAAAACACCCATAATACAGTTTGGTGTATGCTTCCTGTAATGTTTTCTTCACTTTGTTTTGCATTTGCTTTGTTTTGCTCTGTTGCATGGATGTTATTAATCTTTGGTTGGTCATTTAGAAGTTTCACTGCCTTTATAACAAATAATGTTTCAGGGAATGTCATTGTGGCCAACTCTTTGCGTAAAACCTAAGTGACTCCTTTGGGTAGATACTCAGCAAGGAGAGAGTTAGGTCAGCTCCTGATATGCATTGAAGACCCACCATCTACATCACCAGCTGGTGTGAGGACATGTGCCGGTTTTACTCTGTCAGTGATAGTGTACGTGCCTTCCTCAGCCTTTATCAACACTTTCTAATTTGAATGCAAGGCCAAATAAAATAGTATCCTATTCCAGTCTTACTATGTTCATAATACAAGGAAGTAAAACTGATTTTCGTACTCTTATTGCACATTTGAATTTCTATGTCAGTGAACTATTCGTGGTCCCCTCCCCATTCTGGGGGTTCTGTTTGTTGGGAAGTCATATTTTGTTACATGTTGCACCTGTTTGGGTATGTTTGTGGTAGGCTGTTGAAATACATAGCTGTAAGCTTCCTATTTCTGAAGGATAACAGCCGTTTTGAATGGAAGCATGAGAGACAAATCAGATATTTAGGAGCCGTCTGGAAATTTTTAGAGTTGGCACTTCACCCATTTTACTGAAGGAAATACTCCTGTAGAGGAATGCATGTATTATATTGTGCAACACATTATTTTGCAGGAACGAGGCATAAATTGTGAAACTAGAAGTAAGGAAGACACAGACAGACCATCACTAGTGCCTCGCAGCCCCTGACTCCTCACAGCATGGACCTGCGGGGGCTGCTTTTCTGCTCTGTTCTCTTTCGGTGTCTGGCTGCTTCTGCATTCGTCAGTGTTAGGTTTTCAAGAGCCATCTAATGCTGAGTGGCTGTAGACGTTGGTTCTCCGTGCTGTGGAGTATTTCTTGGTGTAAACATACCTCCATTGATGGATCCATCGACTGCGGGTGGGCATTTGGCAGGTTCACCTTGTGAGTTACAAGGAGTGCTGCTGTGAATATTCCAGCACATGATTTTGAGTCAGGCACAGAACTGACATTTTAACAAACTTTTCAAGTGCCCACACCCTCCTGTCTTCTTCAGTGACAGCTCTTGAGCAAAGGCAGGGACAGCACAGACCTGTGATGCATAGTGTTTTTGTTTTCCCTTTCCTTGGCATTACTCTTATAAAGTAAGGGCGAGAGTAATGAAGTTCTAACAAGGTACTGAGTTCTGATTTAAATTGTAGATAATGACTGCTGGCTTCAGGCTGAGCTATCATTTATAGATGAAGAATTATATCTTAGGAGCTATTATTTTCCTTATCAGTTTTTCTTGATTCACCCTAGTAAATTGAAGGCTCAAATTGTCTTAAGAGGAAGGAGTTTATTAACTTACTGGTCTCATAAGCAACCTTCTTTGGTTTACTAGTTTAATGAAAAACACATCTTTGGGGTAAGAAATTGGATTTAGGCCATGTGCATGCATGAGTTGATGTTGAGAGTTGTACCAAATCTGGATCACGTTGCTGTGTGATCTTTTGGTAGAATTAAATAAAAGGCATTAAAAAAATTTATAGCTGCCTTTTACCAGCCTTATGTCTGTGTTGTTTTTTTTTTCCTCTCTAGATTCTTTGGCTGACATGATTTTTGAAGTTCTGCCATACTCACTTATCAGCCTGTGGCAAATGCAGTCCTCACCAGGGTTAAGATGAAAGGCTGATAGTTTAAAAAAAAATCCATGTGCTTTATAAAAATGCCCTACCTTTCTCAGGAATTGCCAGGATTTCCTTGATTTCTCCCCCTCTCCTTCTTAATACATAGGGGAAAAGCTAAATTCTTATACTTTATTCTTTAAAACTTCAAGTATGTGTACATCTATTTAAAAGTTATCAATACTTCACAAAACATGTCTAAACTGACAATTCAGTGACTCAAAGGCAGCCAAGTACTTGCTGGTGCATTTCCAATTTTATGGGCATCTCCGCAAACGATGAATCACTTTGTACTTCCCTCATCTACATGGGCTAAATATTAATCTCCACAGCAACGCCCATGAGTATTGAACAGATGAAAAATTAATGGTGGGAGAGAGGAAGTCTGCACTATAGTAGCTCATGTCCGTTTTTCTTGCCCTTTTCCATTTATTTTTATTTTAATTTTCATTTCCATGGCTTTTCATGTCCTTATACCATTTTCTCTGCCATTAAAGGACACTAGCTGTAAGCTGATAAATAACAGCCTAATGGTCTTAAATAGTTATCTAGCAACAGTTAACAGGGACGTAAGAGCTCAGAACCAAACCCTGGCAAAATGCTGCCTTAGGAGACTTCTGTCTGCTTTTTCCCAGTTTGTCGCTCCTTCCCTGCTTGGAGGTGTACGCCTTCTGTGTCTTGAGGTCCTGTCGCCATGGCCCACATGGACACCCCTGTGTCCTTTCCTCTGGGGCCTGCTTCTGATCACAAGGATGCTTGTTGCTGCTATTGCTACCCTAGAGAAAAAAACAGCCCTGTCACTGTCAAGTACTGGAAGCCCCTCCCCCTGCTCTCCCGTTCATTCAGTGATTCATTCATCTGTAGGATAATCATTTAGTGCCTGTGGTATGCGAGGTATAGGACAAACACCATAGCTACCAAGGCCCAGCCCCTGCCCTCAAGGAGTTTTTTCTGCTGGTGGAGACACACAAGTAACAGGGCAGTGTGAGATGCCCTGTGTGTGTGTGTGTGTGTGTGTGTGAGTGGAGTGGAAAGTTGGGCAGGCCCAGAGTTTGAAGGCAGCCAGGTTTCCCGATGGTCTGAGGAACAGAACAGTGGCACATCCTTCTAAAGACTTCTAAGTGTGAGGACCACCATTACTTTGCACATTGCTTCAGATTCCATGAAGAGTTTGCTTTACGCTCTCAAAATTATGAGAGAATGTCATGGTACTTCAGGAATTTCATTCCACGGAGAATGGAATTAAAACATAAATATTTCCTTTGATCCAAAAACTTTTGGAATACATGCATACTTTAGGTGAGTTTTTTTAGATTTCCCAGTGCTTTGGATTTTTCTTTTGTGGTTTGCATCCTTTTTTCTTTTCTTTTCTTTTTTTTTTTTGCAAGACCATATTTTCAGTTGAATTTTTCAGAATAATAGCATGCTCACTTCATAGAATCGACTTGCAAGTAGCTTTTTAGGGCTTTCTTTCTGTGATGAACTCAGCAAGGCACAAAAGAAGTTCGTGACTTGCTATCACCAGCAACTAATTTTCAGTGAGACAAGGCTTAGACATGGCAAAAGTGAGACTCCACAATGTACCAGCGTTGTTTTTATTTAATGACATAATAAATCCTGTGATATATCACTATCTTCATGAGCTGACTATGAACATTAAACTAATCCATTACTTGTGTTTTCTCATTTTCAAATGTCCATGTGGAAAAAATGGCTCCATATTTGGGCTTCAGGAATGTGCATTTCTAAGGAAGATATTTCTAAGAGTAGTTAAACATCTTCCTAGCCCCCATGAAAACCTCAGTAGTTTTGTACATAATTTTAACTCTTAAAACCTTGAAATAGGCACATAACCAGACAGTTCGTATTAGGTAAGGAAGAATTTTACCAAAATGTTGGGTGGATTCTATGTTTCTTTTAAGTTTTTTAAATGTTGTACTTTTATTTCATTTGAATGGCAGGGAGACAGAAAGAAATAGACATAGAGAGCCAGGTCTGAGCCAGGCCAAGGCCAGGAGCCTGTAACCTGGTGTGGGGCTCCCATGTGAGTAGCAGGGAGCCAGCCACTGAGTTATCACCTGCTGCCTTCTGCGGTAGGCATTAGCAGGAAGCTGGAATTGGAAGCAGAGCTGGGACTCAAACACAGGCACTCTGATCTGGGATGTAGGTGTGTCTCAAAACACCTGCCTCAGTGCTGTGTTTCCTGTAGGAGGGATCAAACAAAGATATTCAACAGACTTGCAGTACCTGCCAGTACATGCAGCCTACTGAACAGTGATGCGCATGTCTCATCCCTTCATAATTTCATTATTGTTTTCTCTGGCAGTAATGAGCTCCTAGAATGAAAGATTTTATTACACAAAAACAAAAGCTTTTATTATGTTGCTTAAGTGAATTGAAACACAGCTTTCAAAACTTACCTGTTTAGTTGCAGGGATATCGTCAGAATTTTTTTAGTGATTATTTTTCTACTTATGCCATTAACTTAGAATATGTATTTTTGCAAACTTATAGTTTGATAATTTTTTACATCAGCAGATTTCAAGTCTATCCAGATGGAACCATGAAAACCATAAAACAGGCTGGCGCCGCGACTCAATGGGCTAATCCTCTGCCTGCGGCGCGGGCACACCAAGTTCTAGTCCCGGTTGGGGCACCAGATTCTGTCCCAGTTGCTCTTCTTCCAGTCCAGCTCTCTGCTGTGACCCGGGAGTGCAGTGGAGGATGGCCCAAGTCCTTGGGCCCTGCACCCGCATGGGAGACCAGGAGAAGCACCTGGCTCCTGGCTTTGGATCACCGCAGTGCGCCGGCTGCAATGCACTGGCTGTAGCGGCCACTTGGGTGGTGAACCAACAGAAAAAGGAAGACCTTTCTCTCTGTCTCTCTCACTCTCTCACTCTCTCACTGTCTAACTCTGCCTGTCAAAAAAAAAAACAAAAAAAAAAAAACAAAAAAAAAAACAAAAAACATCAGGGGTCAAGTGAAAGCTATACAAGGTTAAGGAGGAGAGTCACTGGGTTTGCCAGATCCATGATTTGCTCAGGGGTTCTGATGTAGAAAGAAGAGAGGTACTGTATTGGATGGAGGCAGCATTGGGTCCAACGAGAGAAAAGACAAAGACAACTGCAGTCGGAGAACAGGCAAATCAGAGCCAGGTAGGTAGCTACAAGGGCAGGGGTGAGTTGGCGATGGGGAGGAGCTTTCTTTGAAGGTGTTCGGAGAGGTGTGACAGTCAGAGACGAGATGGAAGAGCACTCTTTAATGTGGGGCAGAGAGGAGCAGAATGAAAGGAGAGGCAGGTACATGGAGATAAATGACTGTCTTGGTTTTATTCCTAGTATGAGGCCCGTGGCAAGAAGACTATGGCCTGAATATTACAGAAAGGGATCAGTACTGCAAAGAATCACTGTTTGGATGGAAGATCTACAATGTGTGAATGTGATTTTTATTTGACAAGAGAACACTGGTTTGTGGTATAGATTTGAAGATTGAAAATACAAGAAAGCATTTTCCTGCTCCTTCCCTTGGATCTCTTCTCTCCAGCACTTCAGAGCCAATAATTCATAGGAAGGGAAGCAAAAACGAGCCTCCGTTAGGCAGCAGAGCTCTGCAAGGCTGGGCTGCGTCAGAGCCAAGGGAGGCAGCCGCCCCTTGGCCATGCCGAGGCTGAAGTCCTGAGGGTTGCTGACATTCTGCTGATGGAACCACATGCATTCGTTTTAGGGAGGAGCGTTCACATTTGCTAGCTGGACCAGGATTTTTTTTTTTTTCTTTCTTTCTACAAGTCAGAATAGACTGGTGGGACCCAGTAGAATTAATGAAGTTGTCAGGCACACACAAAATCTGGATTATATCTTTTTTGGTTGTCATCTTCGCCAACTCTTCTTGCACTCTTTCGTAGAACAGGACCAGACGATGGGATTAGGATGGAAGGATTCGTGTTTGGATGATTCGGCAGCAGCATGGTGTGAAATCTGTTATTTATCTAAATTCAAAGCTTTTCTGCCAAGATATAAGAATTTCCCTTTATGTCAATACCGAGTGAGTTAAAGGATAAAGGGAACTGCACAAAATACAGATGTGCTCAACTCAAACTACTGCTTTGGGCTAGCAGAGCAATTATTATATTGTGGGTGAGCTGATGTGTTGCTGAGCAGTTAGGCTGAGGTCGGTCAGTCCCGCTGACGATTTGAATCTGAGACATTTCCAAGTGTGCTCTCGTCCAAACCTCCTCTGTGAAGGTCCACCCCGTCTGAGCTCCATACTCAGCACCTGGAGCGGAGCTCTTCCCCACTGTGTGCTTGCCTCACACTTCCTTTATGGTCCGTTCTGTGGGCTCCACTTCCCTTCTCTGATTGCTCGATGTCTAGAAAAATCAACCACGAGAGCCTCGAGGGCAGCAGGTGTTTTGTTTTCACTCCTTGGAGAGCCGTGTCTCGTCCTGGGACAGCAGCCCTTGGCTTGGCTGCGTCTGTGAACTGAGTGTGGAGGAGGTCGGACCCAGGCCCGTCTGTGTTGTTTGTGTTGACGCAGCCTGCAATGCACACAAATGCAGAAACATCCTGATGGCTGTTGCTTCTGAACCTGAGCAGAAAACTCCCACTTTGATGAGACAGGAAGTCTCAGAAACTTCACTCCTAGATGTGCCTCCTGTTAACAAAATTATATGCCAGCTTGGGTCCTATAATTGTCAGGTTTAAAATCATAGAGAACTGATTTGATCTATGACTTGCCACTGGGAGGGAGTTAATCTCACTGTCTGTTTCCTTTACCTGCAAAGTGGGGCACTCTTGGTATCCACCTCATTATTTAAGGCTTGGAAGCATGAAAATGAAGCATTTTTGAAGGGGCGGTTGCTTTATTTTTGTATATATTTACAAGATACGTTGCATAGTTTCCCTAAGGCATGTTCTCAGCATGTCCGGAGGACAGGCAGATCAGGGGCACAGCACACTTTCTGAAAAAGTCCCCCTAGTGAATATTTTCAGAACTGTGCAGGCCCGACTGTCTCCGGCAGTACTGGACTCTGCTGTTCTAAGTTAAATGCAGCCATAGACAGCGTGAGAATGAATGATCCTGGCTGTGTTCCAATAAAACTTTACTCAAGGACAATGAAATCTGAAATTTCCTATGATTTTTGTATGTCATGAAATAGTATTCTTTTGATGATTTCTCAGCCATTAAAAATGTAAAATGTGGTGTGGACATTTGGTATGGTGGTTAGCTCGCTGCTTGGGATGCTCTCGTCCCGTACTGGAGTGTCTGGTTCCTGTCCCAGCTCTTCTGCTTTCATTACAGGTTCCTGCTGATGTGCACTCTGGGAGGCAGCAGGTGATGGTTCAAGGAGTAGGATCCCTGTTACTTATGTGGGGCACCCGGACTGAGTTCCTGGCTCCTGGCTTCAGCCTGGTCCAGCCCTGGCTGCTGTGGGCATCTGGGGTGTGGCTAGCAGATGCAAGTTCTCTGTCTCTAATAAATGTTGATTTTGAGCTTTACTCAAGGTATATCAGAGAAGTGGGTGAAACAAATGACTAGCTATAATTACAGGTTATTAAATTAGGCTTTTTTAAAATGTGAAATAGGGGATCTTATCTCCCTGGTGCCTGATAAAGAAGAATATTGATTTGTTCTCTGGGGGAACATGCATGAGAAGTTGGCTGGAGTTGAGTGGTCATGTTTCACTTTATAGCAAAGGAAGCAGCAGCCTAGGGAAACTCTATGACATGCCTAGAGGTAGAGCTTTTCAGCACTGGCACTAGATGGTCCCCAGCCCTGGCCAGTGTACTTCCATCTTCCCTCCCTATTTGGCATTATTCTCACATATCATGAGCTTAGTGATAGTACCTAGGATTCAGAAATAGTAGTTTTTAAAGATCTGCTTCATATGTTCCTATATCAGCCCTCAGAAAACCCAGTGAAGCAAGGGAGCAAGTTTTATGATCTGCCTTTTATAGAAGAGGCAACTGACCATCTGATGTGTCTTAACATACCCTCGGTCATACACCCATTAAGTGCTAGGAGCAAGTCTGGGAACTAGGTTTTTCTAACTCCTTTTATTATACCATGCTGCCTTATTATACTTCATGGCTGCTGATGTCATTAATACCCAAACATTAAAAAAGAAATTGAAAAAGAAATAACATCCTGCCATGGTTCCAGCCCTTGGCAGTGATTTTTAAGTGGAGCTCTGTGTTATGAGAATTTTTGCTTTCAAAATGCTGCATGCGCCTCCTGTAAAAGGTTGAATGAGATGATTTTATTTTTGGTAAGTGGCCCATGTAAGTTTATTATTTATTTATTTTGGTCCTTTTTGCTCCAGCTCCTGTGGGTAAATGAAGCACTGCTGTATTTTTATTGCATGCCCCATCATTAAAAGAAATTGAAAAGACGCTTGTTAGTTTTAATATTGCATGAATGGAAATATATCTGGCATTTTTAGGAACAGTTACAATTCCTAATAGTGCATTTGAAGAAGTAGTCTGGTTTTGTTCTTGATTAGAAAAAGAGGAAACTTTCTTAAATTTGCTATAATTTGATAATCATCTTTAGTTATGGAGGGAGAACATGTATGTAGTATGAACCCAACTTTATGACTCATTCAACATTCCCTCCTGGCCTTTGGGGGTGGATTTTACTCCTGGGCAGCATGAAGGGTCGTTCATTTGTTGGTAAATAATCCAAGCAAAGCTGCTTCCAAGTACACGTTTTCCCTCTTTATAAACCATATGCTTCTTTAGTAATTGGACATATGCCCCTTTTAATAAACTACATGTGGCTTTAACTGGTGGAGCCATTGTTAAGTTAAATATAAACCAGATAATCGACTACTTCTTGCATCTAAACCTGCAACACAATCTCCCAGAAGACAGTGTAAAATATTCCACAAAACAGCTATTCAGAGACATTATGGAAAGGTAAGTTGAGGCAGGGAAGGGTATGGAGGAATGGTAGAGACAAATGCAGTTACCAGAAAATAATTCAGCTTGAGCGTCAGGTGCCGTGTGCACTGCAAGGCACAGACTTGGCAGTAACAACAGCAGGAGTAGAACAAGGACTTCAGAGAAGTTTCTGGACCACATTTCATGACTGGCTTGAAGTTTACAACTAAGTTCATTTTATTAAAGCCTGAAGTTGCCTTTCTTGGTAGCCTTCATAAGAAGAGGTAATCTTCACAGATACCCAGGGGAAAATGGCAAGCAAAGCAAGGTTCTATAGCTTTCAAGATTCTCTGCAGAAGACACTTTGCAGGGGTTAATAAAACAGGAATGTGTAGTGCGTGAGAAAGTCATGCCTTGGTCATCACTTACCTCTGGGGTGATGTCCTAGTCCATTTTCTGTTGCTATACCAGGATGCCTGAGACTGGGTAATTAAAAAAAAAATAGAATTCTCTTTAACTCATGATTGTGGAGGCTGGGCAGTTCTGGATCCTGGTGCCAGTGTCTGCTCAGCATTAGGTGAGGACCTTCTCACTTATTGGGGACGTGGCAGAGAGCATCACATGGCAGACAGAGCAAGTGAGCCAGAGTGAGTTTGCTTTTATAACAGAACCACTCCTGCGATAGCCCATTGGTCTGGGAATGCATGAATGTATGAACCCAATCACAAGGATAGAGCCTTCATGATTGAGTCGCTTCCTAAATGGCCCACCTCCATATTGCTGCTTTGAAGACCAAGTTTCCAACATTCAGACTTTTGGAGAACACATTAAAATCATAGCAAACCACTTTAAGCAACTTGCACAACCCCTGTTAAACCTTAGAATTTTGACCTGAACCTTGGGGGATGATACTGCATGCCACAAAGGCCCGTGGTGACGAGTGGAATGAATGCGTGTGGAGCAGTTAGCTCTGGCCTGGCATTTAGTAACTGGTAAATGAGCAGTTGAGGGGCACTCATCAGTGTTGCTAACGCACTCATCCTTGCACGTCTTCTGGGGCTGGCCTGCTGGAAGTTAGGGTGACAGTCTTGCCAGGAGGGACATCAGGACATTTTTAGTACTAGTTTGGAAGTCATCTGTATATAGATATAAAATAATTAAAATGGTCGTGTGATTTTTAAATAAGCTAATTTATTCATATCTCCATAAAGCCCTATAGTAATTGCAAGTGCTATTAATACATGTAAAACTCGCTTACTGTGTCTTTACTATAAAGGCACTAAAAACGTTCACAGCAAAATAAAATTAAAAGATAAGTTTATTTCAGTGCAAAAGATTTTTGAAACCCAGCGTAGTTTTTTCATAATACAGATTTTTCATGACCTTTTTGAAGTGCCTTATTGTATCGTAGCTGTTTTACGAGGTATAATAGTTTGAGTAAGGCTTCAGAAAATAAATTCATGGGATAACTTTTCAATCTGTGTGTGTACCTAATTTGGATTTCTTTTGAGAATTATAGAGAAGATCATTCTTATGATAGGATGAAAATGAGCACAGTGTTTACGGCACCAGATTGGAAGCCTGAGTTCTATACTCCAGTGGCTGAGTTTGAGTCCTGTCGTTCCTGCTGAATCCAGGTCCCTGATAATGCACACCCTGGGACACAGCCGGTGATGGCTCAGAGTAGCTTGGCCCCTGCCACACATGTGGGAGATCTGGATGGAGTTCCTGGCTCCTAGCTTTGGCCTTGCTCAGCCCCTTCCATTGTGGGCATTTGAGGAATAAACCAGCAGATGGGCTCTCTCTTCTCTGTCTCAGTCTTTCAAATGAATTTAACAAAAACTTTTAAAACTTCAAACTGATTGTCTTTTTCCTTATTCTAAAACGACTGGGAAATATAGAAGGTAAACAAAGAAGTAATCCATAAGAATATTTTCATGCTATTTTGGTACATTTCCTGAAGGTTTTTTTTTTTTTTCCTAGAAATAATTATGTAGTTCTCTTCCTTCCACCTTCCTTTCCTCCCAAAAAGTTGAATCTTTAAGATGCTCACAGACAGTTTAGCCTGGCAGGTAGGTGAGTGGACTCCAGATTCTAATCCAGTCTCTGTCACTGTCTAGTTGTGTTTTCTGGGACACATATGGTTCAGTTTTTCCATCTGTGCAATTCAGATCATAATCAAACTGGCCTCACAGAATCATCAGGTATAAGGTGCTTAGAACAGTGCTTGGCACAAAGTGAAGTTTGATATAGTGAGTGTTTGCCCTTACTTTCCTCTGTTCATTAAAGCTGTGTATTTAATGACATGGTATTCCATCATATCATAAGGTAAATGGACAGTTACACTTAAGTTTCTTGTTATAAATTACACTGTGACGAACATCCTTGAATATAAATCATTGCCTTTGCATTTGCAATTTTTTTCCTTAAGGTATGTTATAGAGGGATGGGCATTGGGGCACCGTGGATTAAATTGCTATTTGGGACACCTACAACCCATATCACAGTGCTGGTTCAAGTCCTGGCTACTCTATTTCTGTTCCAGCTTCCCATTAGCACGTCCTGGGAGGCAGTGGGTGATGGCTTAAGTGCCTAGGTCCCTGCCATCCACAGGAGAGGCGTGGCCAGAGTTTCCAGCTCCTGGCTTTGGCAAGAGTTTGGGGTGTGAATCCTTGGATGAAAGATATCTTCTCTCTCTCTCTCTCTCTCTCTCTTTTCTCTCTCCTTCTCCCCCATCTCTCCTTGCCTTGACGGAAAACAAATACATAAACATTAAAAGAAAGATACATCCTGGAACTGCAACCACTTGGTACACTTGGTTGCTTCCGGAAATATAGGAGGGTACTTCACAAAGCTAGTGGGAAGACAGAATTAAAAGATAACATTCTTTTTGTGCAAAAATTTTGAAATCCCTATGTAGGTTTTTCACCATACACATTTCCATGAACTTTCTGAAGACCCCCTCATGTGTGCCTTTAATGCTGCGCCAAAGTTACCATCTCCTGAGAACCTCCCTAACACTCAACATTAATTTTGTAATGTTCCTAATTGTTTTCTGGGTGCAAGCTTTAAATCTGAAGTGTGTTTGTTCCTCAAGGGGAGGCCTGGCAAACCACAGTTAGCTCATAGTGGAGCCAAATCCAGCCTACAATTTGTTTTCTTAAAATAAATTTTATTGTATATATTTAATGTATACAACAGGTTGTTGTGGGATATAGATACATAGCAAAAATGTTACTATAGCAATGCAAATTGATATATCCATCACTTCATATAACCACTTAGTTTTGGTTTTGTGGCAACAGCAGCTACAGTCTGAGCATGAAGCCGGTACACAGTAGAATTTTGTTACCTGCAGTCCTTGTGCTGTATGTTGGTCTCTGGACTTGTTCATCCTACACATCTGCTACTTTGTATCTACTACCCATTTTTGGAGCCAAGAGTAAATTCTTACAACTTCAGTTGCGACCATGAAAATTATGTGACATTCAAACTGTGTCTGTAAATAAAAGTTTCACTGGAACACAGCCACGCTCACTGATTTCCATATTGTCTGTAACTGCTTCTGAGTAGTTATGAGGTTTACAGAACTATGTGTTGGGACATTGATCACAATTCAAGTTCAAATTTATTTTGTATTTATTGACGTTGAGTGAGGAGGTCTCATAGGCAAATATTTTTTTTTTTTTATTTTTTATTTATTTATTTTTTTGACAGGCAGAGTGGACAGTGAGAGAGAGAGACAGAGAGAAAGGTCTTCCTTTGCCGTTGGTTCACCCTCCAATGGCCGCCGCGGCCGGCGCGCTGCGGCCGGCGCACCGCGCTGATCCGATGGCAGGAGCCAGGAGCCAGGTGCTTTTCCTGGTCTCCCATGGGGTGCAGGGCCCAAGCACCTGGGCCATCCTCCACTGCACTCCCTGGCCACAGCAGAGAGCTGGCCTGGAAGAGGGGCAACCGGGACAGAATCCGGCGCCCCACCCGGGACTAGAACCCGGTGTGCCGGCGCCGCTAGGCGGAGGATTAGCCTACTGAGCCGCGGCGCCGGCCCGGCAAATATTTAAAGTGTCCACTTGAAAGTCAGACAGCTGGCTGCAGGCTCTACTGAGGAACCTGCTGTGTCCAGGATAGGTGACTTACTTTCCCAGTTCCTTAGTGTCTTCCTGTGGTTAAAGAGGATAACTACAGTGCCTTCCTGATAAAGGCGGTCTGAAGACAGGTGAGGCACTTCTTCATAGTGACTGAATGTTAGTTGTCATTGATTGGTACATGATTAATAGATTTTAGTTGGAGGGCTTTGGAGAAAAGAGATTGGTAGGAAGAATGAGTGAACTAAAATTGTATTGTGGAAAGGTGGTTGACTGGTCATTTCTTTCTTTTATCATTTCTATCAGCACTTTGTCCAGGTAAGAGTATGTATCCCTTTGGGAATGCATTGGCCCACTTGCTCCTGAATATTCCTGGAAAGCTGGCTAAAGTAGTGCTAAAAGGAAAGGGTGGTCCGTGGCCGGCTTCTCAGTCCCTGGGGGTCTGGGGGATAGGATTGGTGTGGCCTCTGCTGCTAGCTTGTCCTTGTCTGATGAGCTGCTGGGACACCCCAGTGTCCTGTCTCAGCTGTGACCATGGGGGTGTGCCTTGGGAGAGCTTAGGATTTGTGACCCTTATTCCCTTGTGACAGTCTGTGAGCCATTTCTGCTAGTTTTCTGAAGTTGCAGACTTTCATGGCTATAACTAACCAGAAGCTGGCTGCCTAGGAAATTCATGCCTTTGGAAAAACTGTGACAATCAAACAGTGGTGTTTGCATTTGGGTTTCTTAAGTGCCGGATTCACAGCCCACAGTCACTGCAGGCCATCGCTCAAGGGGGTGCCAGTCACAGACTCCTGATGCAGGCAGCCCCTGGCCTTTTCCCAGTGGATGATCCAACATCAGTGAGTCCTGCTTCCTGTCCACTACCTTGTGATGGTGGCCTCCAGCTCATTCTGGTACAATAATGGTGTACTCTTGATAGTGGGAATGTTCTCTCCAAGAGGTTTGTGCAGTGGTCGGTCAAATGTTATTAAAAAGAGAAAACCACAATATTCGCAGGCCTTCTCATTATATGATCCTCTAAAAACACAAACATGCAGTGTAAGCACCCCAGATGAAACCAGTTAAGTCTGTGCTCACTTCTGCAGTTAAACAAAAAATGGTAAAAAGGTTAGGCAAGGGGACTTAGCAGGGGACAAGGGAGGATGGGAGTCTAGGAATCACCATTTGAAAGCATTCCTGGAAGAAGCTGCTACATGCAGAGGGTTATATCTTCCTACCTTTAAAGGGAAAGCAGGCATAGTGGTTAAGATGTCACTTGGGACATGTTCATCCCATGTCAAGAGTGCCTAGGTAATAGTCCCATCTCTGTTCCTTCTGTTCCTGATTGCAGCTTGCTATCTTACTAGTGCGTACTCTGGGAAGCAACAGGTGATGCCTAAGTGGTTGGGTCCTTGCCACCCATGTGGGAAACCTGCAATCCTGGCTTCTGCATTGTCTCAGCCTTGCTTGTTGTGGACCTTTGGGGAGTGAACCAGCAGATGTAAGCTGTGTGTGTGTGTGTGTTTCTGGCTTCATGCCATTCAACTAAATAAAGGAGACCTGGCTTTGAGTCCTCCAGCCACATGGAGTGGGCTAGAGCTCCAGTGTGATAGGGTTGTTCCCATTGGTGGATGTAGCCAGGCAGCAACCACCTGGCCACCTTGGCTTTGTGAACAGGCATTTCATTGTTTCTCTTGAACTCTTGGCTGGGGATCTCATTATGGAATCTTAAATGCTCAGGTCTGTATGTGCAAAGTAAGAAAGAGACTCTGCACTTTTTGCTAATAAACGACCGAACTTGAGTTCCTGAAGAAATCTCTAACACCTAAATGTTCACGAGACTGTTACTCACAGATAGGCATAAATGCACGATTAAGCAGAAAGGAAAAATGTTGACCCTCCTGGGAATTTATTGTACTGCCTTTGATGTCACTAATTAACTCACTCTGTGTGAGCAGTGACTAGCAACTAATAGCAGGCTAATAGAAGAAGCTCCGTGACGTTTTAGAATTATTAATTCACAGAAAGGCCTTCCAAGCTCATGGAAAATAAGGAAGATCTCCTCCTCCTTTTAAAGGCAAGCCCCCAGCGGCCCCTAATTGTACTGTTTTGTGTGTGTTTTCTTCTTCCCAGATGCATGCCTGGTTTGGCTACTGCTTTTTATCAGAAACTCTGAATGTTGGTTAGTACCTTTGGATTTGCTTGGACTTCAGCGTGTGCTCAAGGTCGCAGTAAGCTTTGCTGTCCATGTCATCGACATTCAGGAGCATCCTCCCAGGGACAGGGTTCAGACTGTCAATCTCTTATTTTTTGTGAGGATTTAGGAATCCCAGAAAGATGAATGGGAATCCTAGAGGCCACAGCGCGTACTTGGTGAGCTGGTAGTGGTATCTATTCATCATTATCATATTTTCCAAAAGGGAGGAGGCTCCTTGCTCCATCCAAGCTCTCAGCTGCAGTAGGGCAGCAGCCTTTCAGGTTTGTCTGAATTTTCACTTTGCTCTTTCTGCCTGCTCCCAGGGCCTCTCGTGAAGTTGAGTGGTGTGTGCTGAGCAGTTGGGGAGTGAGCTGGGAACTTGGTCTTTGGTTGGGCACAGACCTGCTGCTCTTGACAGCCAATGGTTGCCAGGGAAGACCTGGTGCTGTGTTAGTCACTCTACACTCTGCTGTATTCTTTGGGAAAAAGAACACCAGAAACATTAAAACAATGAGGATATTCCTATGACTCTGTTGGAGAACATTGCCTACTTTCTCTCCTTTCACGCTGGGACCTCTTGGTTGATCAAAGTAGGAAGAGAGAATTACTCCGTCATCTGTGAGGGGAGGTTGTCACTTGATTTTCTCCAAGGCTTCCAATCCTGCCACAGCTTTCACGGCAGCGCGTTTTAAAGGTTGCAAACAAAGCGAAATGCTCACTCCTGATCCATCTGGGCCCCTCCCTCTGTCATCCGTCATTGTCAACGGGAGATGTATGTGGAGCCGCACAAGGGCAATGCCTGACCCCAAGGGTACTGGCGGTGTTCTTAGGGAAGGCTTTGTTTGCTCGCAGTCTTTGGAAACCAAGCTCTAGACATTCTAGAGAGTGGCCCCTGGCTTAGCAGAACTGCAGGCTGGTGGAAAAGGGAACATTCTGCTACTACAGGAACTTTATTTCCCCTTCTTAGCGTAATTCTACAGGGCTGGCAAATACACTTAGTCTCTTCTCGTTTTCATTTCTGACCTCTCTGCTGAAAACTCACAAGGAGAATTCTGAAACAGGGAGGAAAGGGCTTGGGTTTCGTTGGTTTTGATCCTAAAAACCCCAAAATGTAAATAACCAAAGCAGGAAAAGCTGACAGGATGCAACAAATGCATAATAAGAGAAAATGGAGCAATGCCCTTTCCAAACGTGGTGAGGCAATTGCCTGGGAGGATAGCAGAAAAGGAGGCTCTGTCTTGGGCCCGTAGGAGGGTGGGGCCCCAAGAAGCTTCTGGAAGCACACTTAAAGGTCCAGGCACACATGGAAGCCACTGACTGAACCCCACGGTGCAGCAGAATGTGTGCAGTGCAAGGAAAGCCTGTGTGTCCTTGTGGGTAATTGGGGAGGGTAAAGGGAGAGGGTCTCACTGCACCCCATGCTCCATGTTGGCCCCATGTGTCCCCATAGATTGTCCCTTGGGCCTCACTAGGTGTTTCCCAGGAGTGGGTGATGCTGACCAAAAAGAACCAAAGACCAAAAAAAAACAAACTTAATGGGAGAGTATGTGAATTTTGAAAATTTCTATGCAAACAAAATATATTTTTTCCCTTTTATTGGTGGTGGTCAGGGGCTGGTGGTGCACACCTAGGTCCCATTTCAGTGGCCACCTGCGGAACAGACCTCCTGTCCTGTCAGTAGGACTGTGTGGTGGATTCAGTGAGGAGCAGCTAGAATTTTCCTCCTGTCACTTCCCCATCAAGGCCTGTTTCTGATCTGGGAACGGGGCCCAATATGAGGGTACTTCAAAAAGTTTCTGCAAAAATGGAATTGTTTATTTTGGCACAAAGTCATTTTGAAATCCAGGCCTGGTGTTTTCATCCTGTGCACCTTCCATGAACTTTTTGAAGACTCGTTGGACTGTTGTGGGGATCATGCAAGATAATAGAAATGATGGCAGTAGAGTATTTTCTTAAGGCAGTGGAAGGTGTGTGGGGGGTGGTGTTTGCCAGTGAGGGGCCAAACTAGTCAGCTACATATCTATTGCAGCTCAGTCCTGTGTTTTAATTCATTGGAAGATGACTTTATCATATCCTTCAATATAGAAACTATGAGGCTTCACAAACCTGAGGTCTTAAACATGGAAAAAAATTATTTTCTGGTGAGCAGCCCCTCAGGCTGGAAAGCTAAGCGTCCGGTCCTGCCTTGACAGTTCCGTGCCCCCTCCCCACCCCCAACGGCCCTTCCTGCGGGCTCACTGCAGCCTGAGTGGCACTTTTCTGGGAAAGCCTGATATTCCGACTTCAGTTTTGTAATTTAATGATGGAGAGTTTCCTTAGTAAACCAAATTTAGAGTCCTAGAATGCTTATCTTATATCCAGACCTTGAACATAAAAGGCATTTTATACCCGCAATTGTTCATTTAATGAGCAATTGCGGAGTGCAGGCCGGTTAAGGGATTGAGCTATATGCACTATTATTGCAAGAAGTATTCCGAAATACCAGAAATAGGACGTAAGCTCTGATCAGGGAGACTGCGAGCACAATTACCTTCTTTTCAAATCCTTCTGTGACACTGCGGGAGGAAAAAGGACTTTGAAACTTGAAAGGAAAGAGCTTGCTTTCAACCTCAAAAGCTAGGAGGAAAGGGCTCTGAAATTTGCTCAGAATTCCCAATTCACCATTAGCCTGTTTCTTCCTTTAGCCTCAAGGCATTCTCCGCTTTTTGAAAAGATGTTAAGAAATTCAGTCACAATAGAGAGCCTAGTTTTGAACATGTTTCACTCGGTCCATTGAGGTCTGGGTTCTAGCCTTTGTGTGGGGTGAATTGAGCTGAGCGGCTAGCTGGTTGGAGAGAGGTGAATGAGGAGTCGCTGTGCAGTCGCAAATTCTGGCAAAGAAAAAAGCTCACCCCGTTCTTTATTTTACAATATGCATTCCTGTACAATCCTGCTAGTGGCAATATGTGGAGCCGAGCCTGTTCCTAAGTCAATACAGAGTACTTGGTTTATAGCAACTCTTGTTAAGTTTGTCTTGTAATTGAAGCTGCTGTTGACCTTGCTTGGGGACCATTTGTAAAACCGTTTATTTAGCATAAACTGAAATAATAAACCCTCCTTCTCTGGGGCCGATTGTGATAGGGTGACATTAGTTTGATTTAATGATTAGCCGCCTGACCCTTCTGCTGGAGAGAGCGCCTTGAATAGGGAGAGTTCACTCGGAAGCACTCAAAGAATACTAATGAGCTTGTTAAATTTAGCATGGCTTCAACCACTTTTAATTCCTCTAATGGGAGCAGCACTGCCTGGGAGAGGGAGAGAGACACCGAGAATGTTCCTAGAGGGGTCTGCGCAGCCAGAGAAGAGAGCTCCCCCAGAGAAGTTTGCGGACAGTAGCTAGCCAGAGCCTGGGACCGAGTTGTAAGTATTGTCTGTTCTCTGACCCTCGCTTCTTCTAGGTCTTGGGGCAAGAGAAGGAAGGGCATTAAAACGGGATTTCAGGAGACAGTTGAAAATCTACGTGGAGAGGGAAAAGGGTGAACACGTGTACTGGGAGCTCCTGATGAGCTAATTTTGTGAGGTGACAGGAGGTGTCCCTAGTCAGTGACGCTTGCAGAGTTTTGTCTTTGTGTTGGAAGAATCTTTGGAACTTTTCAAGTCTTGGGCAAAAAGAGCTGGTCTCTTGGGTTATAGTGAGAAATCGCACAGGAGTTTATAAGGAAGTACACTAGACTGTGTTCAAGGCCTGCTTTGCACATCCTAACTGCTGTCTCCAGACCTTTATTGTAAACACCCTAAACACTGTCTGCAGCTTTCGCTCTCTCTGTGTTGCTGGCTCTGAGTGTCCCACTCCGTGTCAGTTGCTTCTGGGTGAGTTTGGAAAATCTGGGATGGTTTCTAAAACGTGTTACTTTGGGCAGCCCTCCATTTTGGGGGGCAGGAATTTGTGAACTTCCACTTGAACATGGATATACAGAAAGCAGGAGGTAGGAGGTGGGATTAGCATGACAGTATTTAAAGGAAGTTTTTCCTGAAAGTTTTTCATGAATTGCATGTTTCGATCTGACCCCCGAGCTTGCAGCTGTTAAACATAGAGAAGCAGGAAGAGCTGCCTTGTGTTTGGCTGTTAAAGTCCATTGGCAGATGCTCTTGGGGCAGTGGGATGTTTGCTTACATTTTCGCAGCAGACTTCTGCTTGTTGCCATGGTGGACAGTATGTTTCTGTCAATAATTTGGCCTGGCGTAGCCTGTCTGCACTGACTCTGAAACTTTATTGAACAACTCGGCTGAACTGAACAAGATTAGACAGCTTTCGTCTTTTGGCTTGCTGAAGTGGTTGCTAAATTTATAAGAGCAGGCAGCAATATTGCTTGGAAAGTTTCCCTTCCACTGTATGCAGGGCGCTTGCAAGCCCCCTAGCTGTGTGCATTCTGGAGCGTGTGCACTGTCCAGCTTCCCTCTGAATGCCATTCAAGAGCAACCCTGTGCACGAGGTAAACCCCATGAAATATTTGTCTGCCGGCATTTTCAGTGGCGGGGGAGGGCTGTGGCATGAAAATGTGATTGCCCCAACTATTGTAAAAGTGAGGCTCCTGATGGAAGTTTCCATATTAAGCAAAAGAATGACTCTGTATTAAATACTTGAACTTGGCTTACTTCTTGTTGTAACTTTAATATTCACACATGTTGGGTGAAGTCTCATTAAGAAAATCAGCTAGCAAACACAGTCATTCCCCCCTGCCCCGACTGCCGTCTCTCAGGTTTGGGGGTTGAGGGTGGGAGGACTCTCTGGCCAGACCATACCAATTATTCAGTTACTGGTGAAGTTGGATTCAAGTGCTCATCATAAAGACCTATTTTTTAAGAAACTGAGTTTATTACCCAATGCAGTTTTAACAGAAGAAAAATTAATTTCTTGAAATCCTATTTTAAACCTGGAACAGATGAACAAAGCTAGGTTCTTCGCCTTTCCCAGGGAATCCGAGTTACAGGGTGCCACCCCACCGAGGGCTGTTTGGCCCCCAGTGAAGGTCCCATTCTACAGAATTTGCCCCTCTGTGCTAGAAGTTCAGTTTGGGTAAAATCGGAAATAAAATACAGAGAGCAAATTAGTGGAAAATATGACTTGGGTGATTTGTTGATTAAAGGAATTTTTATAAAACTGCCATGAGTGTTAGTGTTTTTGATGCCTTTTTTTTTTTTTATCACTGCAAAACCTTTATTCAGGAGCCTGCAGATTTCCCACTAATGCAAAGCAAGGGTAGACTAATATTTACACATGTTGCAAGGGAAAATAAAAATGTGGGATTTTTGGTACTTTGTTTTAAAATAACTATAATCATGGTTTGAATTGCTTTTGTAAAGATTAACATGGAAATGTGAGATTGCATAATTTTTTTTAGTTGTTACTTGATAGATTAAACTCATAATTTACTCTTTAAGGATAAGCTTTGGAGTGAGGCCCTGCACAGAACAATACTAAAATAATATTTCAAAGTTACCAAGTAGGAGTCAGCAAATTCCCTGTATAGACCAAAATATACCTCATTGTCCATTCTGTCTTGCAAGTCATTTGCTAGGCTAAAACAATGTGTTGCTCATTTTTCAAGTCCTATATGCAGGCGGAAAGACTAGCATTGCCACTGGCTTTAAGTGGTTCAAGTCCTTAGTCAACATTTTAGTTTGTAGTTGTCCTCTTGTCTGCTTGTATAGCTCTTCCTCTGAATTTGAACAAAGAGCCGTGAAACTGCTACAGCCTGTTTCTTTCTGAATTTTGGGGACTCAGCTTGTGTGCTTTATGGATTAGTTTGAAGATAAGTTTGCATATTGGGATGTGTTAAAAATCTGTCCATCTTACAATGACATTGTGATCCATATCCAAATGCTGTTTTTATTTTTTTAAGATAAGGAATATGGAGTTTTTAAATTAGATGCTAAGCACTACCTAGACAGCTTTGATTCCATCACCACTTAGCTCCCTGAGCATAGTGTGCTATGTGCAAGATTCTAGCAGATGAATTAGTCCACTTGTTGTGGGTTCAGATAGCCAGTTGGTTTAATTTTATGCATCAGTTCTTTGATCTGCTACTATAGCAAGGTCAGCCAATCACATTTACTGAGAACTATGGTGGATAGATCTATAGTCCCCTATAGATCAAAGGGGATTGAAGTATTAGGGAGCTAGAATTCCAAGGATACGTGGAATTTCATCAAGCTGTTTCGTGCATGTTTGGAATAACGCATGGACCCCCGATAGATCATTCATAGACACCAACAGCACTGACACCTTCTTCCTCACCCACAGAGCCCTCACCCTTGCGTTCCACTCTCAGTTTTCCGCTGACGTCCCAGGTTTGTATAGTGACAGAACAGGAACTGTCCTGCTCCTTAGGCTTCTGTGATTGGCACCTTTATCTCTTGTCGCCAGTGGGTTTTCTCTTCCGTTTTGGGCTCTGTTAAATTTCTTGATGGCTTACAGATCTGACTTGAAAAAATAAAGCCCCCAAAAGCTTTAGAACACTTTCTAGTAGGTCATCTTCTGAGGACCAAAGACCCATGGCCCCTGGAGCCGCCCTGAACCTCCCTAAGCAGCTGGACTCCGCCTTCCCCCAGACACAGAGACCAGCTGCACATCACTGTATGTGCAGAACTTTTCGTAGAACCTGCAGGAGACTGGCAGGCCCGTGAGGCAGAGGCTCCCTGGCACTCACCTGTGGGCTGGCAAGGGTCGTTTGCTGGCCCCTGTCTCAGTTTACCAGGCTCAATTCCTGCTCTCCTTCTTCCTGTCCTTCTCTGTGGAAGTGGGACCTCCACTCATAGGCAGTTTTGTCTTGCAAATATCCCATCACAGGTGTGTCGCTTTCAAAGTAGCCATGATCTTGGTTTGGGAGGGATGGAGAGGGAGACCTAATTGACAACTGTTTTTTAATTGCTCCTGCAAGTGGCTTACTGAGTCTTTCATTTCCCTTCCTTCTTTAGAGGATGAAAGTCCTGGACAGACCTATCACAGAGAGAGGAGAAACGCAATCACCATGCAGCCACAGACTGTGCAAGGGCTCAGCAAAATCAGTGAGGAGCCTTCGACATCCAGTGAGGAGAGGGCCTCGCTGATCAAGAAGGAGGTCCATGGGTCTCTACCACACCTGGCAGAGCCCTCAGTGCCTTACCGCGGCACAGTGTTCGCCATGGACCCCAGGAACGGCTACATGGAGCCCCACTACCGTAAGTGCTTCCTGCCAGTAGGCGCGTGTTCCTGGAGCCCCAGGGAAGGCTGTATGTGTGTGTGTGTGTGTGTGTGTGTGTGTATGCACACACCATGTTGAATGATCTACTCATGTAATTGATAGAACTGTTTCATTTTTTCTTTCCACTTTTCTTCTTGTTGATTCTTAAACACATTTTCTTACATCTGCAAGCAGCATCAGGCTCTGCGGGGCCGGCCGCCTCTAGGAATGGGGTTCACTTGTGGTGAGTCCACTTGGACCTTTCCTAGGACCTAAATCCACATTTGTTCATCCAAGTAGTCGCCGCAGGAGGAAGGTTGGCTGATGGTGGGGAATTATGAAAGTGGGGCTGCTTTCTAACGAATTCCTCCATCGCAGCTATTCACATTGTAATGATTTCTGATTTAATGATTTTGCCTGGTACCCTGTTTACTGCTTTGTTAAAACAAACCAGGGCTAAATTCTTTAATGTGGGAGAGTTTTCTGTGCGCACGACATTTCTTTTTAACCAGCATGCCAGAAACCTTGGACGCTCTTTTCCAGCACTAGTAAAGTTTAAGAAATTAACTAGAACTCCGAACATGAGTGTATGATGCTGTTCTCCAAAGACTGAGTCTAAAGGAAAATATATAGGGGTTGGGTTTATTTCTGGACTGTTTCTAGTTAAAAAAAGAAAGAAAGAAAGAAAGAAATGCATGTTGGTTGTGGGCTAATGAAGTTCATATTGAGGTGCCGAAGTTCGCAGCTCTTGATTACAGATTTATCACCTTGCCAGGACTCAGACTTGCCATCTAACCTTCCCGGCTCCGGCTCCAGATGATCCCTTGAGCCCAAGAGAGGGGGACTGGTTTGTGTTTCCCTTTTTCCACATCATTCAGAAATTTTAGTGTTTTAAGGCAAAAGGTCATTAGCCAGATGACTGATTAGCGAGGACAGCTGATTAGTGCATGTTTTTTTGCTCAAGAAAGTGCCCAGGATAAAAGCTAATTTCATCCCTTCATTAGTTGGCTTGCTCACTCATCAGATCAAAGGGTCTTGCACAGCCTCAGACTCAGCCACTGCTCCCCCCCAACCAGATTATATTGTTGGACAAAACGGAAGACACGTTAGTTTTTAAGTGGAGAGACCATTTTAAAAAATAAAGTGATCAGAAGCAGGGAAGGAAAAGTTTTATGAATTCTTCCAAGTTTTTTTTTTTTTTTTAAAAGAGGCTCCAACTTCTCAAAGAGCGCTCATCAGCCATAGTGCTGTAGACGTTGTTTCCATTCATACAGAAACGAGCAGAGACCGACTGGGCAGGTTGCTTTCCTTTCCCCCATTCGAAGCTTTCATTTTTTGTTTAGTTTTTCTTTTCCTGGAGGAATGGAAGTTGAAATCGTGTCTGAGCACATCCCCAAGTTTTCTCTATTGTGATTTTATATGTGAGTCTCTTTTAGACGTCATCCAGGCAGAAAACCTGAGGAATCGTCCGTACGCCCTTCCTAGATTTATTTATACAAAGGTACTAAAGAAAGCCCATGGAAAAGTAGAATTAAAAGATAAGTTTACTTGGGTGCAAACATTTTGAAATCCATGCATGTGAGGGGTTCTGAAAATTTCATGGAAAATGCAATTACAAAAATGTTTACACCAAAATAAATGTATCTTTTAATTCCATTTTCCAACTTTTTAAAGTTCCTTATATTCTCTGATGGAACACTTAACCCTATTAAGAACATTGCATCTAGATTCTGAGCCACAGCTGTCTCTGTGTGCATTGTTTTGGTCCTTGTGTGTGAACACAAACTTTTCCCATCTCATGTGACTATTTATGTTTTGTTTTCTTTTCCAGATGCCCACTAATTAGTGGGGTATTTAATTAGGACAGCTGATGAGTACTTCTTCTTTGGCTGTGGGGCCGATAACCGTTAGCTTTCTCTGTGTGCCATTCAGCTTGCAGCTTGTTCTTGCTTCGTTTGTTTTAACGGTTTCCCCATTGAAGCCTCTGCTGGTCACTGGAGTGGCTGAGCTCTGCACACCTGGAACCCTTGTCCCCTTTCGTGATTGTCGCGACCCATCTCCTGGACTCCAGTGTAACATTAACTAGTAGTGCGCACTGGAGAGCTCTCACTGGGATTTGGATTCATTCTTGTTTCTCTGTTTTGAAGATTTGGTTAAACCTTCATATTTCCTCACTATCATTCAAATCAATGTTAACATTATGTGATCACTTATAAACTGTGTGAACTCTTTGCTGTAACCAAACACCAGATATGATTTTGACCTACCATCCCTACATTGGTCATAAATACATTACATCATTACATGGTTAATGGAGACAGGGAGTCCTAGTGGATTGGTTCAGAACTCCTGGAATTTGGGTTCAATTTCTAGCTTTGGCACATCTGCCTGTGACAGTGACTGAGTGCTTTGACCCCTCTAAGAATCATGTTCTTATTTTCAAATCATGGGATGACTGCCTGCTCCATGGTGTTCCTGTGAGAGTTACATATAATAATGCAAAGAAAACATTTAGTAGAATCCCTTGGCACATAGTGTCTCAAAATGGTTAAGGTAGTTTTTCTCCTCTGTTCCTCTTCCTCCTCTTCCTCCTCCTCCTCCTCCCCCACCCCTCCTCCTCATCATCATGAGATGAGCTTGCTGTCCAAGCTGAGTTGTTTCTTAGTGGTGTAGTTGTGTTTGGTTCAGTGAAGATCAGCTTTTTTTCTGTCAGACCAGTCACCTGACTTTGTGAGACCAGCGTGTTCTGTAAGCACAGATTGGGGATGGAATGAGCTGTAAGCCTTTGAAAAGGGCTTCACGTGGTCAGAACTCTCTGCTGTGGCATCCTGAACACAATCCTTTCTCTCTGAACCTCAGCACACTGACTTGATATATGTTTTCTTTTTTTTTAATAAGGATTTATTTATCTATTTGAGAGGCAGAGGCAGAGAGAGAGGTCTTCCATCCCCTATTCACTTCATAGATGGCTGCAACAGCTGGAGCGACACCAGTCCAAAGCCAGGAGCCAGGAGCTTCTTCCAGGTCTCTCAAGTGGGTGCAAGGGACCAAGCACTTGGGCCATCTTCTGTTCCCTTCCCAAGCCATAGCAGAGAGCTGGATCGGAAGTGGAGCAGCCGAGACTCAAGCCAATGCCCATATGGGATGCCAGCACTGCAGGCTGTGGCTTTACCCACTGTGCCATAGCACCGGCCCCTCAATATATATTTTCTAAGTGAAGAAATTGTGAAATTTTGCAAGAATCTGAGAAAGCTTAGCATTTTAAATTATTAGAAGAAAATGTTTTATGGAACAACTACAAACCAATACATGCAGAAGGCGTGGTATTATTTATTCATATGAAATAATTTAAAGGTACTCTAACTTAAACCCTGGAGTCAGACAGAATGGCTTTACTTTTTCTAGAACGCTGTTGTGTTACTTCATCTTCTGCAATCACAAGTTTTTCTTAGATGCTTTATAACAAAATCTGTCTACCTCACATAGATTTAACTATCCAGGCAAAGCCAGTGTGAGCTAGAAGAGTGATAAATTTTCTAAGAACATTTTAGCGTATGGAGAAAAGTACCCTCATTTTAAAATGAGACATAACATTGTGATCACATTTGTTTACCCTGTGGTCAAAACTAGTCGTAGGTCCATGGCACTGCCTGTAACACAAGTGCAGTACCCTTGGGTGACCTGAAGTCCAGAACTGTCTTTTTGGGCCATTCCTCTTTCTCTGGAGCTGTCTGCCAGCTCTGCTGGTGCCGGAGAGGAAAGCCTCCAGCAGCCAGTGTGGCTGGCAGTGTGAGCCTCCACAGCAATCCCTGCAGTTCTCTGTGGTTGGAAAATGTAGCCTCCCCAAGATGCCTAATTTGTGCTTCTATATATACTAAGTTTGTATTTCTAAAGTGTGGGCAGGCTTCCTGTAAGACCGGAAAAGGGAAAATCATTTCTTTTTCCCTTCAGAAGGACATCTGTAAGATTTTTATTGCACAAGATTTTATTATACTTGAGTATGCTATGTTGCATCTTCACAAATTGTACTTAGGCAGAATTCAAAGTAGTTTAGGTTTTGTGGGTTTGACTTTAAAAAAAAAAGAAAAGAAAAGAAAAAAGAAAGCCCAGGGATAGCGGGCACTTCAAACATTCGCAACATATGTTTGGAATAAAACCCTCACAGGGGGCTGAGGGGTGGTATTCTCTCACGGAGGGTAGCCATCGAGGGCTGTATATCAAGCCAAGAAAGTAGACGTTCAAGCTGCCTGGCTCAGACACGGTGTGGTGCTGACAGTTTCTCGGCTACGGGATCACTGGCACTTTAGAATGTGGGAGACTGGGCGAGGCTGGATTTGGAGACCTGATCTCGTACTGGTCAGAGTAGGCACCCCCACCCACCGCCCAAAGATTTCTCAGCAATTTTTTTCTGCTGTGGCTGCGTCTATCACCAAATATTTCAAACTACCATCACCCCCTCCTTTCGTTTACTCCCATGCATTGATTCTTTTATAAACTTGCAAAGGTAAGTGACATAATAGTTCAAGCATTCCTGTACCCCGACGGACACTCAACTTTTATTCTCTTCCCCTTTACAGAAAACATGTGTTTCCTTGTCTTCCATGTGACTGCGAGGACTCTACTTTTCTACCCATTCCTGCAGGGAGCTTTGTGCGAAGTTTCTTGATTCACTAGTCATGTCATAGAGGGCCCCTGCTGGCTTTGTTAAAGGGCGCAGAAAAATACCTCCTTTTTGAAAAGTTCAGGTCTCTTTTACAGTTTTATGGTTCTGTGAAGACTGCTTTTCTTCTACCCCCAACAGCTCCCAAGCAGTGATCCTTCATGGAAAATATGATTCATTCCTCCATGCAAATGCTTTGATTGAAAACATACCACTGGTATGCCTCCTTCTGCTCCCCAGCTCACAGGACAGAACTATTAGTTGCTAATTAGCAAAACCTGATGAATTAGCTTCACGAAAAGAAACTGAATTTTTAATTGGCTTGCATTATTTTTGGC